ACAGTATTTGTCTTATCTCACTTATTTCACTTAATATCCTCATTCATGTTGTCACAAATGGCAAGACTGCATTCTTTTTATGGCTGAGTAGTATTCCATTGTGTATTCCACATCTCCTTTATCCATTCATCCATCAATGAACACTTACATTGCTTCCATGTCTTAGCTATTTAAATAATGCTGCAATAGACATAGGGGTGTATATAGCCTTCCAAATTAGTGCTTTTATTTTCTTTGAATAAATGCCCAGAAGTGGAATTGCTGAGTCGTATGGTAGTTCTATTTCAAAACATTTTTTGAGGAACCTCCATACTGTTTTCCATAATGGCTGCACCAATTTACATTCCCACCAACATATGTATTATTTCTTGTCTTTTGATAATAGTCATTCTGACAGATGTGAAAGAACGTCTCATTGTGGTTTCGATTTGCATTTTCCTGGTGATTAGTGATGCTGAGTATCTCTCCATGTGCCTGTTGGCCACCTGTATGTCTTCTTTGGAAAAACATCTATTCAGATCCTCTGCCCATCTTTTAATCAGATCATTTGGGTTTTGTTATTGAGCTATATGAATTCTTTATATATATATATAAATTTTAAAAAAGTGAACAGGAAAATTAAATTATAAAAGAAGAAAATGCAGGTAGGTATAAGGTGTATAGGTATATAGGTATAATGTACTTGGCTGATGGGTAATTCCCAGAGGTGTGTGTGTCATGTGTGTGACTGTGTGTGAATAAAAGTCCCACCCCTCACTGTCACCCTAACTTCACCTCAAAGCAACCAGTTTCACAGTAGGACCTGTCCAGACTTCTTGTGCACAAATAGTTAACATATATACGTATGTATATGCACAAATTTTCCTCAAAAACATAATTGTATTTGCATATCATTTTCAGCTTGCTGTTCTTACTCACATATGTTGTGGACAATCATAGTATAGATCTTTGTCTCAGTGGCTGCATACACAGCTTCTCCTTTTTGACTATCAGGATTTTATTTCCTTTTTATTTCTTACTATTCAATAATGGTGGTGGTTTAGTCGCTAAGTTGTGTCTGACTCTTGTGACCCCATGGCCTGTAGCCCACCAGGCTCCTGGGATTCTCCAGGCAAGAATATTGGAGTGGGTTGCCATTTCCTTCTCCAGGGGATCTTCCCAACCCAGGAATTGAACCTGGGTCTCCTGTATTGCAGAAAGATTCTTTACCAACTGAGCTATGACGGAAGCCCTCCACTATTCAATAGCAAGCAGTGTTAAAATGAATAACTTCATATGTTAACATAACCTTGCATACTTGTTGCCTGGTTCTACACTCTCTCCCAGTCCACGGTCTCAACCCTCTTGTTACAATGGAGCAGGGAAGCAGTCCCGGCATACAGCTGCTATTTCTGCAACCCCAGGCGATGGACCCAGGCCTCCAGGAGAACACACTCCTGGGTTTGACCGGCCCTGCTGTGATGAAGCAGCTGAGATAAACACCAGTTTACCCGTCGGTTCTCAGGGGAGTGTTGGCAGGTTTAACCCTTTATACGTAAGTCAAATTCTTCCCCCTCCAGATGTCATTTCATGTCTGCCTCACAGCACTCCCAGGGGCCAAGTCATCCTCATATACTAACTATTTAATTTGTGCAGGAGTTTGTTTTTTTTTTTTTTTTAACCACAGTTTTATGACCTATCAGCAAGGCAAAACCCTAGCAGTGCTGCATCTGCAAACTCCCTCATCACTCATGCCGGCTTCTCCCTCCTGGTTCTGCTTGTTTCTTGACCAGGTCTTGGTCCTGAGGCGTTCTCCTAAATTCACTGCCTTCCCTTCCAGTTCTGCCAGAGAACTAGTCTCAAAATTCCCAACCCTGAATTCAGTGAATTCTTCCTTTGTAATTAGTACCACCTATTCTTCCCAAGAGCTATTTTTTTTTCTGTTGAAGGGATTCCTCAAAGTGGGATCACTTTAGCAGATAACTGCAGGAAGATATGTAGAACAACAAAAAAAAAATGATAGGAAAATATCCTAAAGTAAAAAATTTCTGTATTTTAGTAACAAACATTTTAAAACATTGCTATAATAAAAAGCCATAAACAATTAAACATCATAAAAATAAAAGACAAGGTGACTTGGAGAAAATACCTAAAATTTGTATGACAAAGTGATTCTGTATCTTTATAGAGATTTTAATAATAAGAAAAAAGATACTCATTTATGTAAGGAAAACACTTAAAAGAAAAAAGTGGATTATTTAACAATAAGAAATAGAAGTGGTGAATAAATATTTTTCAAATGTCAGTATCAAAAATAAAATTAAGATATGTCATGTACTCTATGGTGACTATTGTTAATACTATACTGCATATTTGAAAGTGGCTAAAGAAAACAGATCTTAAAAGTTCTCAAGACAAAAAAATTTTTGTAACTGTGATGATGAATGTTAAATGAGCTTGTTGTTATCATTTCACATTACATACAAACACCAAATCATTATGTGGTATACCTAAAACAAATATGTTATATGTCAATTATATCTCAAAAATCAATTTAAAAATTAAAAACAATTTTATTGCTTAATTATCATTTTATCGAAATGATAACACTCAGTTTTGTTGTGAGCAGTGAGAGAGAATTCTTTATATTGCTGGTGGGTATGTAAGTATTTAGGCTTCCCTGTTAGCTCATCAGGTAAAGAATCTGCCTGCAATGCAGGAGACCTCAGTCAGGATGATCCCCTGGAGGAGGGCATGGCAACCCACTCCAGTATTCTTGCCTGGAAATCCCCATGGACAGAGAAGCCTGGGGTCACAAAGAGTTGGACATGACTGAGCAACTCAGCACAACACATGTAAGTATTTGTGGTTAAGCTAAATAGAATTGCAATATGAAAAATTAGTTCATTTGCATTCATAAACATTTAGAAATTATGTATACTAGTGAATACAATAAGAAAGCAATGTAACAGGGAAAAATATCTCTACAAATTTGATAGAGGTCAATTTATAAAAGAGTTAACACAAATAAAACTATTAAAACTTTAATTGAAAAAATGGGTAGGAGGCTACTTCGTAGAAGAGAAAATGTTATTAAAAATTAAATGATCATAAATTTTATTAGTATTCTAGAAAATGCTAATGAACATAATATTAATTATCTTTGGGCAATCAAATTAGCAAAGATTTTAAAACTGTTTTAGCAACTACAGTTCCAGAAAAATAAATGACCCAATAAAAAATGGGCCAAAGAACTAAACAGACATTTCTCCAAAGAAGACCTACAGATGGCTAACAAACACATGAAAAGATGCTCAACATCACTCATTATCAGAGAATTGCAAATCAAAACCACAGTGAGGTACCATTATATGCCAGTCAGAATGGCTGCTATCCAAAAGTCTCCAAGCAATAAATGCTGGAGAGGGTGTGGAGAAAAGGGAACCCTCTTACACTGTTGGTGGGAATGCAAACTAGTACAGCCACTATGGAGAACAGTGTGGAGATTCCTTAAAAAACTGGAAATAGAACTGCCATATGACCCAGCAATCCCACTTCTGGGCATACACACCGAGGAAACCAGATCTGAAAGAGACACGTGCACCCCAGTGTTCATCGCAGCACTGTTTATAATAGCCAGGACATGGAAGCAATCTAGATGCCCATCAGCAGACGAATGGATAAGGAAGCTGTGGTACATATACATACCATGGAATATTACTCAGCCATTAAAAAGAGTACATTTGAATCAGTACTAATGAGGTGGATGAAACTGGAGCCTATTATACGGAGTGAAGTAAGCCAGAAAGAAAAACACCAATATAGTATACTAACGCATATATATGGAATTTATAAAGACCATAACGATAACCCTATCTGTGAGACATCAGAAAGACACAGATGTAAAGAACAGTCTTTTGGACTCGAGAGAAGGCGAGGGTGGGATGATTTGAGAGAATAGCATTGAAACATGTATATTATCATATGTGAAACAGATCACCAGTTCAGGTTGGATGCATGAGACAGGACACTCAGGCCTGGGGCACTGGGAAGACCCAGAGGGATGGGATGGGGAGAGAGGTGGGAGGGGAGATCAGGATGGGAACACATGTACACCCATGGCTGATTCACGTCAATGTATGGCAAAACCACTACAATATTGTAAAGTAATTAGCCTCCAATTAAATAAATTTAAAAAATTAAAAGATCGTAAATTTTTTTGGTATTCTAGAAAATGCAAATGAACATAATATTAATTATCTTTTGGACGTCAAATTAGCAAAGATTTTAAAACTGATTTAGCAACTACGGTTGCTACAGTCTTTCAGGAAAATAGTTTGATAACATTAATCAATTGCTTTTTATAAATTCCTTTCCATTGACGTTGTAATTTCCTTTTTAGTAATCTAGACTAAAGAATCATTAGAAAATTTAATAAGCATATATTTAGTGAAACATAAGTTAACAAAGTAGAAAATTAGGAGTCACTAAAGTCTTCAGTATTAGAATATGATTATTAAAATAGTATTTTCATATATACTATTTTAAGAAACAGTAAAACATATGAGATTTGGTGAAAAATTATATGCAAAATTGTCCAATTGACAAAATATCAATATATACAGGCATAAAAACGTAGTGAAGGAAATTAAAACTGATTATCTCTGATTTGATTGGTTTTGAACGTCACTTAGCAGTGATGGATTTTCAAGGATGGGATTATGTTCTAATTTATTTTGCATCAGGCACATAGTAAGAGGTCCACTAATGCTGGTCGAATAGTAGGTAAGTTCACAAGTTATAGAGGATTTCTTTTCTTTGCACTGACGGATTGAGAATGACCACGAAAAGAGAGAGACCCTGGGGGAAATTGCAGTAAATTAGCTGGGAAGTGAACATATAAGGGGAACTTGTGGATATGCGAATGTTTTGTAAACAGCAGGAGCAAACCCGAGACACAGGTCTGTGTGACCCGGGGCGGCTGAGTCCCGCCTGGCTGAGCGACGGGCGCTCTCCCGCAGGAACTGCCCTACGACGCACTGCGCTACATGACCGGCGAGTGCAACTACGGCGGCCGCGTGACCGACGACTGGGACCGGCGCGCGCTGCGCAGCATCCTCGACAAATTCTACAACCCGGAGCTAGTTCAGAACCCGCACTACAAGTTCGACTCCAGTGGCATCTACTTCGCGCCTCCTGCTGGCGATGTAAGTACACGTGCTCTTCAGGAAAACTGAAAGCAGTAAAGCATGAACTTCCCCTGATACCGAAAATGGTGACTTTTTTCCCCCAGAGGCTTTTTTTTTTTTTTGGTTAAAAAAAAAGAGGACATTGTGTGTCCTTCAGTCTTACAGGGACAGAGCAAACGCTATGCAAAGATGGAGTTAGTGGTTTCCTGTGTCCTGTAATGTGAGGACTCTCAGAAACGCTCCTCACCCAAGAATGTCTTCCTCAGTGACCTAAAATTCTCTTACTGTGAATTCAGACCTTTGGGTCAAAGACATTGTCCCCAATTAAAATGGGAGAAATGAAGTCGCTCAGTCGTGTCCGACTCTTTGCGACCCCATGGACTGTAGCCTACCAGGTTCCTCTGTCCATGGAATTTTCCGGGCAAGAATACTGGAGTGGGTTGCCATTTCTTCTCTAGGAGATCTTCCCAACCCAGGGATTGAACCCGGGTCTCCCACATTGTAGGCAGGCGCTTTACCGTCTGAGCGGAGAAGGGGGTTACAAAATAGTATTAACAGTAATAGTTAATATGCAGATCATTCTTAATTATTTACAAAGGAATTACATTCTCATTAGAGCATCGAATTAACATTGATGCTGTTATTCCTCCTGTTTTACAAGTAAGAAAGTAAGTTAACTAAACTTAAATAACTTGCCCAAGATCCCAAAGGTAGAAAGGGCTTCATAAGACCTTCATACCTGCTTCATAAGACAAGGCTGTCGGCTCCTGTTTTTTCCAGTCCTGTTTAACAGATGTATTTGCCTTCAGATTATCACACAGTAGACTTCTAGGGACTGCTGGTACGATTAAATTGGTTCTCGGTTTATTCCCAGAAGTCAAAAGGGCACATATTGAAAGTTAAACACACAGCCACAGGCGACAGAGGCACATGCCTTGACGCCACATCCACTTGGATGAGCTCTGGCCGCAGGCAGACGCAGAGAGAGGAAGAGAAACACCAGCTCCAGAGTCAGGTCACCGATGGGGCGGGGACGTCAACACGGGGAGTCATGGCAACAGCATCTCCAGGGATGAGTTGGAAAGTAAGAAGACGGCAAGATAAAGTCAGGTTGTGCAATGTGACCCATATTGAGAAATCATCAGTGACCAATTGCCCCACCTCACTGTATGTATATGTGTATATGTAAGTGTATATGTATGTATATGAATGTGTATAATTATACATACCTTCCCTGATGGCTTAGATGGTAAAGAATCCACCTGCAATGTGGGAAACCTGAGTTCGATCCCTGGGTTGGGAAGTTCCCCTGGAGGAGGGCATGGCAACCCAGTCCAGTATTCTTGCATAGAGAATCCCCTTGGACAGAGGAGCCTGGCAGGCTACAGTCCATGGGGTTGCAAAGAGTTGGACATGACTGAGCGACTAAGCACATATGAGCATCAAGACAAGTATGGAATCTTTTTTTAAAATCTTTTTTATTAAACTTTGTATTTTATATTGGAGTATGGCTGATTGACAATGTTGTGATAGTTTCAGGCGGACAATAAAGAGACTCAGCCACACATGTACGTGTATCCATTCTCCCCCAAACTCCCCTCCCCTCCAGGGTACCACATAGCATTGGTTCCCTGTGCTCTAAAGAAAAGTATGGATCCCTCGGTTGGGAAGATCCCCTGGAGAAGGAACTGGCTACCCACTCCGGTATTCTGGCCTACAGAAATCCATGGACAGAGGAGCATGGCAGGCTACAGTTCATAGGGTCTCAGAGAGTCAGACGTGACTGAGCAACTAACACTTTGAATGCTCATGGAATCTTGACAGAAGTTTATGTAAATATAAAACGTGTGTGTGAGTATAAAAGATTTATATTAATGGTGGTTATCTCATGATGATAAAATCTCAGGTAATTTTTACTTTTCTGAATTAAGTGGATTTATCACAATAAGAGTAAACAGAAGAATCAGGGTAAAGTGGAAGAAAAACTACTGTGGTAAATTAAGAACAGTCATCACCATGGCTAATTCATTTCAATGTATGACAAAAACCACTGCAATGATGTAAAGTAATTAGCCTCCAACTAATAAAAATAAATGGAAAAAAAAAAAAAGAACAGTCATCAGCAAATGCAGCACAGAAAGATTTCTGTGGAAGAAATTTCTAAATGAAGTAGCCAGGATATTCCTCTCTCCATTTAAAAATTCATTTCAACTGAGTGTGACATTTTTTTTCTCTTTCTAAATGTGTCCATATCTTTTTTTTCCCCCTTTTTTTTAATGCTTTGGCCCTGGATGAAAGAAAATGAAAGCATTCAGTGTCCAGTCTCACAGGCTCATCCACTCAATAACCTGAGCACTGAAAATCACCTCTTTTCAGTGAGCAAGTTCTGCAGGATAATTGATTTCTAGCCTCCTGGCTCCTTGTTATTTGTCTTTGCAGCACAGTAGCTACATTGAATACACAAAGACACTGCCTCTGACCCCGGCTCCGGAAATCTTTGGGATGAATGCCAACGCTGATATCACTAAAGATCAGTCAGAGACTCAGCTGCTGTTCGATAACATTCTTCTCACACAGGTGTGTAGTCTGTGCATTGGTGGATTCTGAGGCCACAAAGGATGGTCCCCATCAGCATGAGCCCACGGGAGAGGCCCAGGCACAGGGTTCCATCTGTTCACGTGGAGAAACAGTTTTAGGAAAAAGAAAAGAAAATACGTACCTTAAAAATAAGTTTAAACAGAGAGTGAATGAATGTGTGAGTTTTGTTTTCACCAGGCTTTTGATTTGGAAAGCATCTTTGAGTATCATTCTGCTGCCAGCAGTTCTTTGAGTAGCATTCTTTGTGTATCTCTGAGTATTCTTTGATACCATTCTGCTGCTAGGAATTCCGTTTTGCCTCTCTTGGCTTGAATTATGCCCCAGAACATATATTATGTCCTTTATAAATTTCTTAAAGTGGAAGAAGAGTTTCAAAGGTGCCTGGAAGCAGTTTGATGCCAGAATTCATCTAGAATTTTCCCTATTTAATTTTCTAGTCTCTTACTAATGCAACATGTTTAATGACTTATCTTTATCAAATGTTCCAGAACATTTAACCTAGTTTGTGTAGTTTTTTGTCACATCAGTATTTTATCAGATTATATAGTATATAAAATATAATAGTAAGTATGAAATAAATCAAAAGATTTCGGAGAACTATTGCCTCTGAGACATTCAGCTCTGCTGGTGAGAGCATAAATGTAAGGGCACATCAGAGGATGACCTCTTAAGGCACCAGGATTCAGCATGCCATGGCACAGGTTAGTTCTTCGAATGAAAGATGTTTAATCTTACTTGTCTATTAAGAGATATTCTATATTGTTTTCTGTTAGAAGATGTGCTTGTTTGTTTTAGTTCCAAAAGCAAATTAGTCCAAATGGTGAGTTCCCTTAACGATTGCATGAAATTTTAGTAAGTTAAGGATGATTATTCATTAAGCAAATTATTCCCCTAACTGATTTCAAGCTGATCTTTTTTTATTTTTATGGAATCTCAAAGTAATAATAATAATAAGTTAATTATTTTATAGTGCTTCTTGTATGGGAGCACTGTTCTAAATGGTTTATGCGTAACAGTGTAATGCTTAGGACAGTCCTGTGAGGTAAGGTGCTAATTATTCCCATTTTATAGCTAAAAGACAGACACAGAACGATTAAGTAGTTAACTCAAGGTCAGCTAGTACAGTTTAAAGCCAGGACTCTGTGCCAAGTACAGACTTGGGACTCTGACTCCCACTAGTTTGGCTTCAGAATCTGTGTTTTAAGCTGTGTGATACTCTTTCTAGAGTCTAAAAATGGAATAAACCTCAAAGGCAGATAACCAGAGATGCTAGGGGAACTAAGAACTGGAATGAAAGAAAGAAAGAAAGTTAAAGAACCGGATTGAAAGAAAGAAAGAAAATGAAGTCGCTCAGTCATGTCTGACTCTTTGAGACCCCATGGACTGTAGCCTGCCAGGTTCCTCCGTCCATGGGATTTTCCAGCAATAATACTGGAGTGGGTTGCCATTTCCTTCTCCAGGGGATCTTCCCCACCCAGGGATGGAACCTGGGTCTCCTGCGTTGCAGGCAGACTTTTACCATCTGAGATACCAAGTAAGTTCAAGAACCAGACTTCTCTGCTGGCTCAAATGGTAAAGAACCAGATTGAGAGGATGACCTAGTGTGCTGTCATTGATGGAAGAGTTCAGGGAACTTCTGGTTCTGGTCTGTTGTAAAATGACATCTGCTAATAAGGCAGAAAGGACAAAGACCATGTTTTAATGTCCATTTTGTATGTTAATACCACTAAGATCAATTATTGTTTGAGCATGAAATCATATATAGACAAGAATACGTAGATCTTTAGCAACTTTAGTGCGTGTAGTATGCAGTAGTCTAACAACAGGAGATTTATAGAGCCTTCGGCTTTTTTTAAACTTGATGGACTGTGCCATATTACAGAATACATAAAGCAATGGTCATATTCCAACAGAAAATGACTCAGAATCAAACAAACAAGTTTACATACACTTTGGATCTCTTCTCAGTATGTGATTAAACAACCTCTTTCAATAGTCTGCAACTCAGATTGGCAAATACAATTAATGTAATGGGTAGGCAGGCGTTCAGTGATTCCACATTGAGTTTACCACAGTTCAGAGGCAACCAGAATAGTGGTTTAGAGAGCAAGGTCATGAGGACAGGACCTTCACATTGCCTATTGAAATAAAATATCTTTTGAAGTGAGAGGAGCTAGTGGGATTGAGAATGTTACTTCTGTAGAGCTGTCTTACCTATGCTGAACTGCTAGACTTGCTTTTGAATAAGAAAATTGTTTCGACCTAAAATATTGTTAAACTAGAAATGGAAAGGTTAAATTCCATGATGTCTCCTTGAAAATGTATCCCACTTATCTTTATTTGTTTAATAAAAGGAAAACAACTGTTAGAAGATTTCAAATGGTGTTTATGAAAACTCTTAAGAAAAGACAGTTAAAAAAGAACCCAAGTTAAATAATTACAAATAAATAACACCCTTTTGCTCTTAATTCTCAATATCAATTGGATATTACTTTTAAAATGTATCTCCCCAACTGTGTGATTCTGGTGTGTGAGAAATAGGTATAGGAATGTTTGTGTTACTAAAATATTTTTCTTACATTTCTGAAGGGTTATAGGCCTAGGATTTATTTGGGGGGGGATGTTTGATGGAGGTGCAGCTCTTGTTAGAAAACAGTAATGTTTTTAATGAGTTTATAGTACATTGTATGCACATCAAAATACAAATAGAAATCAGCATATCATTCTTCAAATGCAACAGAAATAGATATTTCACTAGTTTTGACCAAATATTCATTACCTTCTTTATTATCTGTAATTTGTTTTATATATTTGGTTATAAACCTAATAGTTTGGGATCATGGTAAAGGATTACTATATTGGCATAGCCCCTCCCCCCTTTTTTCCTAGCTTGTAATTAATACTAACATTTAATTTTTTATTGCACATTTTTATAGGAAGGTGTTAGGGTACCATTAAAAATCTTACTAGAAACTTCAGTAGAAGTTACTGTCAATATGTATGAAATATACAATATAGAAACTAGAAAGCATAAAATCTGAAATAAGACTAAACACAATTTCCTGGGGCTGAAAAAATATGAGATGTATTCATTTATATTCTAATAGTGCTCATTCTGTCTCCATGCACACACACACCCACACATTTATTTTGAGGATTTAAAGGTTTTCTCAGAAAATATAGATTCATTTATATGGTGCCACTATAAACTTAAGAAATAAAAATTGAAATGAAATTCCCCTTCCTTGCTTCCAGTGTGAATTACTAAAGTCTGCCCTATCTCTATAACTCTTCCAACTGCGTGGAAGATTAGAGCTTATTTTCTTTGCCCTCTTGGGTTCAAGGAGAAAGCTATATCTCTGCTTTTGGCAACCAGTAGGCAACAGAGTTATTATTAGCAAATATATTTGTGGCAAGCTTTCTCATAGCAGAACCAGATTTCCTCCCTGTGGGTTTTGATGCCCACCATCACTTGACCACCTCACCATGGTGAGTGCTTTTGCTCCCTCTGTCCACAGCATCTGCCCTTCCCTCAATTCCCAGAGAGCACAATGCTTCCTCCAGACCTCCTTTTGCTGTGAACATTGTACATAAACTTCTAACAGCAGTTTTTCTCCTCAAGCTCCATTCCCATGCCTGTTACCATCACGTCAATAAATCTTATGTGGAGAAGAATCATAGATAAAATAGCAAAGTAGTATTCATTCTTACAAAATTTACTTTAGGAATTTTCCCATCCAGCAATTCTTAGACCTTTGTGAGCATTTCTGATTCATAGTTTGAATTCTTCCCAGTCTCGTTCAGCAGATGCTGGTGCAAAATCATCGGACGAAGTGGTAAATGAGGTTGCTGGTGACATCTTGGGTAAACTTCCAAACAACTTTGACATTGAGTCTGCAATGAGGAGATACCCAACCACGTACACTCAGAGCATGAACACAGTGCTTGTTCAAGAAATGGGACGGTTCAATAAGTTGCTGCAGACCATAAGAGACTCATGCATTAACATCCAGAAAGCAATCAAGGTAAGGGAAAGTCCAGCAAGGAAAAATCATCAAAATAAATCGTTCATTTACTCAGCCAGCATGTATTGGGCACAGATTCTGTGAAAGTGGTTTTCTTGGTTCTGGGATAGAAAGAAAATCCCTGCCCTTAAAATGTATATGGAAATCTAGGGCTGGCAGTTCATAAGTGGGTAAGTGAGTATAGAGTGTGGTACGTAAAGCAGTCATTTGCTGGATGAGATACACGCTAAGAAGGCAGAAAGCATTAAGAGGTAAGAAAAACAAAGCTTCTGCCCTCAGTGAGCTTACCTTAGTGAGGGAGACAAACAATTAACAAATAAACTTTTCAGTCAATGGTAAATTCTACGGAAAAAAAAATAAAATGGGATAAGGATGTGGAGGGTGAGAGGTGGGAAGCGCAGTCATTTGGAGTCAGGCCGTTCTGAAGAGGCCCGATGGGTGGGGCAGGCCATGGAACATTTGGGCAGCGGGTTGAGCCGGCAGGAAGGCCCTGAGAACAGCAGCCTGGCGTGCTCGAGGTACCATAGGAAGACTGGCTTGGCTCCAGAGGAGGAAGCACGAGGGAGATGGTAGAACAGAGAGGAAGGCACAGGCTCGTGATGGCCTTGTCGGCCAAGGTTGGGATCTTCAGTTCTATTCTAAAGTGTAAAGGCAAAGGGAGGCCTTCAGAGGAATTTAAGCAATAAAGTGAAATGACCTGTTTTGTGTTTTTAAAGATTGCTCTGATCTCTGCGGAACGGATTGTAGGGAAACCAGAACATAGGCAGAAGCCAATTATACGATGGAAGTCTTCCACATGAGTTGGTTTCTTGCCGTAGCGGTGGAGGTGGAGGAGAGTGGTTGGTTATGAGTTGTTGTTGAAAGAGGAGTCTATCTAGCAGGGCTGTTTGGCTAATTATTCGGTATCTTGTGTTTCTCCTTAACCTGGCTCTCCCTGTATCCTCCCTGGAAAGTGAAGGTCTGGCTTTCCACGTTCTAGGAGATAAAAGGGGAAAGAGGCCTGTGGGAGTTCAGCAGCTGGTACATGTGGATTCACTTAAATCCCGATTTCGGGACGGGAATTCTGACACCAACTCAGCCTGGCATTCTTCCCCTCTATGAGGTTCTTCATTTTCCTTTTCAGGTTTCATTCAAAGTAGGTGATGTGCAATTTTGTGGGGAAAGACCCAGGACTCTGTTTTTTAAGGCAGATCTCAACAGTCTTCATTTGAGCACCACCTTCTTCTCCTCCCTGGCTAAGGCCATCAGTTCCAAATATTTTGAATATCCTAGTTGATTCTCAGCTTTGCCCCCTGCCAGTTTAGGATCGAGTTTCTTGGCACAGCTGAGTCAGCTGCCAACAGTCCCATGCTTTCTAGCTCCCAGTATCGTTCTGCTTCTTTCTGCACCTGCAGGCTTATGGGGGTTTTTTGGAGGTGTAGTATTTTTTGTTTTCGGGAGGTGTACTTGGCCATACTACACAGCATACAGGATCTTAGTTTCCCACCAGAGATCGAACCTGTGCCCCCTGCAGTGGAACCATGGAATCTTAACCACTGGGCCAACAGGAGAGTTCCTAAGCTTGTGCTTTTAAGAAATAAATTCCTCTACCATTATTTCAGGGTTTGGAGAATGAGGAAAATGAAATGTGGGTGTTTAATCCATTAAATTTACTCTAAAATTTTCTCCATATGTTAGCTGGAATGATATTGTCAGCTATGGAGAAAACAGAAATGATGGCACCTGGCCCAGTTGCAAGATCACATAGGAATTTTCAAGGGCCTCAAAGTTTTACCATCTGTTAGGATCCTCAATTTTATTCTGAAGTGTAAAGGTAAAGGGAAGTCTTCATTATGCAATGAAGTAAAATGATCTGTTTTACATTTCAAAATGGGATAAAATCAATTAGACTTCACAGTTGCAATCCAGGATATTCAACCTTTCTAGGCACTTTGAATCATTTTGCTCATTTTATATTTATCACTCTCCTTTTAAGAAGGTCAGGACAGAGGTATGTTAGTTGTCTATTTAATAGATAAATAAACTTAAGTCAAAGTTAGGCTGTGACTTAGTAGACAGTGAGAAGCCGAGTGTTGATTAAGATCTTCCAAGCTACAGTAGGCAGAAGGTCCGAACTCTGTCACAAGTCCTGAAGGCACACTGTAGACCTTAGTCACTGCAGTCAATAGCACTGTATTGCTTATTTGAAAGTTAAGAGAGTAGATCTTAAAAGTTCTCACCACACAAAAAAATGTAACCATGTATGGTGATGCATGTTAACTAGGCTTATTGTAGTGGTCACTTCACAATATACACAGATATTGAATCATTATGTTGTACATCTAAAATTGATACTTTATGTCAGTATTCTTTATATTTCAATAAAAGAAACTTTGCATTAAAATTTGATTAGATTAAAATCGTTAATATTTTTCCAAGAAATAACTCAAAGATTCCACGTCTTACTTGTGAGCCAAAGAAAATACCTTTTCTTTCCCCTCCCCCCTTTTTTTTGCTATAATTAACTAATCATAACTGTAAACAAGTTTAATTATAAAATTACTCAAATGTTAGAATACTGTCATGTCAAACAATGGTTAAATGTGTTTCAGGGACTTGTAGTGATGTCTACAGAACTTGAGGAAGTGGTTAGCAGCATTCTGAATGTCAAGATCCCAGGAATGTGGATGGGGAAATCATACCCAAGCCTTAAACCCCTTGGGAGCTATGTGAATGACTTCCTTGCAAGACTAAAGTTTCTGCAGGTGAGTTCATCCAAATGCTCACATATTAGTTTTCTTTGGATTTCATTTTCTTCACTAGGATTTGCGACCCCATGTATGGTAGTCTGCCAGGGTCCTCTGTCCATGGGATTCTCCAGGCAAGAATGCTAGAGTGGGTAGCCATTCCTGTTTCCAGGGGATCTTCCTGACCCAAGGATCAAACCTGGGTCTCCTGCATGGAAGAGGGATTCTTTACCATCTGAACCACCAGGGAAACCCATAATGAGCATTATTGTCGAATTTTTGTGTGCATCCCAAGCATAAATGACCACTACTCAATATCGCATATAGTTTATGTAACTGTTGCACTAAATTGTCAAAATACTAATATTGGAAGTAGAATCTCTGGAAGCTTCTTTAGGAGAGGTGTTCATGTTCAGTGAAGTTAGAAATTCAAATCAATGACATTTGAAGAGAAAAAGGGACTCGCTGTGTTGATATTTCTATTGAATATTTAGCTTTAAGAGATCCCTACAACAGATTATCCTACAACGCCACACACGCTACTAGTAAGGAGAATTATTTCTTCCTTGTGCAGCACTCTTCCAGGTCATGAAATCACTAGATTGCTGTTTCAGCCCAAGTCAGTAATGGGCTAATTGTCTTGGAAATGTAGAGTGGGCAGAAGTCTGCCTCCTAATTACCTGGCAATATTAGTTCTTAACAATGTTCTTATTAACAGTTCTGTTAGAAGTATTAATTTCCCAGGTACTGTATATAATGCATCAAAAATTACCTGTGAGGAAATTTCTCCAGGGATGGACTGACTAAACTCCCCTTTCATAATACAGGCCTTCTGTAGTACTAGTGAAGTGAAGTCGCTCAGTCGTGTCCGACTCTTTGGGATCCCATGGACAGAAGCCTCCCAGGCTCCTCCGTCCATGGGATTTTCCAGGCAAGAGTACTGGAGTGGGCTGCCATTTCCTACTCCAGGGGATCTTCTGGACCCAGAACTGAACTCATGTCTCTTACATCTCCTGCATCGGCGGATGGATTCTTTACCACTCGCACTGCCTAGGAAGCCCGAAACAGTCACTGGGCGTGTATAAAATAGGCATTTGTATCTGCATTCATATCACTGCACACGCTGGTGCAGTGGGTACGAAATTGACGCCAGAACACATGCTGAATATGCTGGCTATTTTTCAAACTTGGAGAGTATGGCTTTTTATTCCTCCAAGTGTTAGCTTATTAGTTTACTAGAGAATCATAGGGGCAGTGTTTGGGGCAAAGTTTATTAAGCCATGTTGCATTCAGAGTTGAAAAGCTCTAGTGTCTGGACACTTGTGCTTTGACACCACAGCAATGGTACGAGGTCGGCCCTCCTCCAGTCTTCTGGCTTTCTGGCTTCTTCTTCACACAAGCCTTCCTGACTGGTGCCCAGCAAAACTATGCCAGGAAACACACCATCCCCATTGATCTTCTTGGGTTTGACTATGAAGTGATGGAAGACAAAGAATACAAGCACGCTCCAGAGGATGGTGAGTGGCAGCAGTGGAATGAGTTGGCTTATATCTTCACACTGAACAAAAACATCACCTTCTTGCTCAATTTTCTCAGCTGTTAAAAAGGCAGAATGAGCAAAAGAGAGCAAGGATAAGAAAAAAATGGGGATGACATGAATCTGAATAAAGAGTATATGTCCCTTGCATTGTTGTAGTTTTACACAACTTTGTAATTCTGAAGTTATTTCTAAAAAAATATGTTGGCTAGAAAGTAATCATCAAATTAACAATACATGGGATAATCAGCCACAATCTTTTTATGGCTTGTTGTTTTAATTGATGTACAATTGATTTCCCATGTTCTGTTCATTTCTGCTGTAGAGCAGAGTGATTCAGTTATACATGTTATATGTATATATAATACATACATGTTTTATACACACACACACATCCTTTTATATTCTTTTCCATTATGATTTATCACAGGATACTGAACATAGTTTTCTGTGCTCTGCAGTAGGATTTTGTTGTTTATACTTTCCATATATAATGGCTTACATCTGCTAACCCCAGACTCCCATTCTACCCCTTCCCCAGCTCCTCCTCCCCTTGGCAATCACAAGTCTGTTCTCTAGAAGTCTGTTTCTGTTTCATAGATAGGGTCATTAGTGTCATATTTTTAGATTCCACATATAAGTGATATCATACGGTATTTGTCTGACTTCACTTAGTATGACAACTCCAGGTCCATTCTGTTGTTGTAAATGGCATTATTTCACTTTTAGTGGATGAGTAATATTCCATTGTGTATATGTACCATGTCTTCTTCATTCATTGATGTATCGATGAACTTTTAGACTGCTTCCATGTCTTGGCTATTGTAAACAGTATTGAAGTGGACACTGGGGTGCGTGTATCCTTTTAGACCATGTTCTTCTCCAGATATATGCCCAGGAGTGGGATTGTGGATCATATGGTAGCTCTATTTTTAGTTTTCATTACTCTGAGAGATGAATCAAAAAAAGATATTGCTGCAATTTATGTACCTATGTTTTCTACATTCTACCTATGTTTTCTTCTAAGAGTATTTTAGTATTCATTATTACATTTACGTCTGTAATCCATTTTGAGTTTACTTTTGTGTATGGTGTTAGTGTTCTAATTCATTTTTTTTTTTTAACATGTAGCAGTCCAGTTTTCTCAACACTATTTATTCCAGAGACTATCTTTTTTCCACTGTATAGTCTTGCCTCTTTTCTTGTAGATTAATTGACCATAGGTATACATGGGTTTATTTCTGGGCATTCTATCCTGTTCCACTGATCTATATTTCTGTTTTTTTGCTAGTATCATACTGTTTGGCTGACTGTAGCTTTGTAATACAGTCTTAAGTCAGGGAGCATTGCTCTGGCTATTTGGGGTCTTTTGTGGGGTCTTGTGTATTTTGGGGCCATGAGAAAAGCGACTCACTCAAAGTGACTTTAAAGTGGCCACAATGCCATTGTAAATCTATCTAGATTTAGTATCATACAGTCTACATGTATTTGCCTAAGATTTGTCTTAACTGAATCACCATCTAGCACCCAGTTATTCAGGTATCAATGGGAAAAGCACTGCAAAGCAAGCAGGAGGCAGGAAGGAGTGAAGAAGGGCTGGGGATGCTGTCACCTCCACCCTGTACTGACCACAACTCACAGAAGCAAAGTGACTCACAAACCATGCAAGTGAAAGTCACTCAGCCGTGTCCAACTCTTTGTGACCCCACGGACTATACAGTCCATGGAATTCTCCAGGCCAGAATACTGGAGTGGGTAGGCTTTCCCTTCGCCAGGGGATCTTCCCAACTGGGGGATCAAACTGGGGTCTCCTGCACTGCAGGCGGATTCTTTGTCAACAGAGCTATCAGGGAAGCCCCACAGACCAGGAAGGGCTATTAAAACAGGACCGTTAGTATCCCCTGTCATTTTGTTTTGTGTTTTCCATATGGCCCATGAGAGACAACAATTTATTTGTCCCCATCACATTTCTTATAAAATTGTTGTTAGGTTGGAGGGAACTTTTATCCCCATTGCCGCTGTTCTTAAGGGGTTAAGATGAATTCTTCTCTTTACTCCCTCTGACATAATCTTTCTTTTCCAAGTAAGGAATAGATCACCCATTAGTTAAGGCCAGACATTTACTGGGCTGTGCTTACCAGTCAGCAAGGTCAGTGTATTAAAAGCTCTCTGGGACCTGACTGCAGTCTCCTCTCCTTTCTCTGTTCCCATCTATTATTGTGATTGGCCTGCAGACTTAGATCTGGCTGGAGATGTGGGCATGCAGAATGTGCTTGCAGATCTCTCTGGCCCCCTCAGGCAGGTCCACCCCTGACCTGGCTCCAGGCTCAAGATGCGTTTTGCAGTTCAGTTTTACTAGAGTTATTCTTGGGAAGTTATTGGACGAGTGCTTTGCCAGCAAATAAAATTGACCTTTTATTCCAGCTATTCTTTCCGTCAGTTAAAACCTAGAGAGAACAGAGGGTAAGTCTTCCCCTCAACATCCATCACTGGGCTATCCACATGTGGCCTTTTAAATTTATAACTAAAATTAAATTTAAATCTCTTGGTCCCACTAGCCATGTTTTACATGTTTTAATAGCCAATCATATTGGAAAACACAGATATAAAATACTTCCATCACTGGAGAAAGTCCTATTGGACAGCACTGCCCAAGTGGATTTTCATATCCTATTTTCACAAACTGCTTTCATCAGTTTAGCTGATTTGATTCTAACTGTACAAGGTAGACAAAAACAGGCATTCAGTTCAGTCGCTCAGTCGTGTCCGACTCTTTGCGACCTGATAGACTGCAGCACACCACGCATTATTGTCTTACAAATATCTTCCAATTATTCTCTGGATAAAAAAACAGATATAGAGTTAAATGAATTGTTCAAGATCACACCGCATATTAGGAACTGTTCACCTATGTCTTTCTAAGTTCCTCATTGCCTCCCTTCATATCTGTGCAACAAATTACAATGAATATTTTTTGTGTGCAGATACCCATATTCAATTCATGAAGCTTTACACAGGTGGATAGCCAGGGATGTGATCCAGGTTTCATGGATTCCTTAAGTTGTGGTCTTCAGTTGATCGTATGTGACATTGCCTTCTGGATTCTCATACAGACTGAGGTGCAGCCTTGGAGTGAGCAGATTCTAAAAGGGGAGGAGAAATTTAACTCTCGGAACATAAGACATCAGGAGAAGGGTGTTTTGCTCCCATGCTGCCTGGAAGCCACTGGGTCCCTACATGACATTAAGAACTTCTATAGATTTTGTGGACTCTTGACATTATAGTCATTGGTCAATTAAAATATAAACCAATGTTTTCCCAAACAGAGAACTTCATGTAAACTATTAAAATTCCTTTCCTCTTTTTGTCTCCCACATCAAGTTTTACTAGGCAAAGTATAGCTATTCTTAAATTAAGAATATTAACACAAACTCAGAACACTGACTTTATTTTAGAGCAGATCTTCATTTGCTGACCTAGTATCACTTGCACAGTATTCACCTGTAGGGATTCCAGCTTCACAACTCAATCTCAATCTGTATGCATATGCAAAGTGTTGTATTAACCTGCTTCTTTTATATTTAGGTGTTTTCATTCACGGACTATTTCTGGACGGAGCTTCTTGGAATAGAAAGATCAAGAAACTTGCAGAATCACATCCCAAAATTCTTTATGATACAGTGCCTGTGGTTAGTATTTTCTAATGATATATATGTGGGGGGGGGCTATTTTATACATGTACATACACCACATATGTAATTTATTATTTATAGTAGTTATGTTTTATAAACTTGCTACCAATATTAGTGAATACTGAACTTCTAGGCAAAATATAAGGTTAAGTTTCTGTAATCAGGTGGCCTCATTTTTGTTAACTGATCAATATATAACTTTCTTTCATTTGTGCTTCTGTTTAAAGATACCTTATTTAATACACACTGTTGATTCATTAACATTGAACTCATGGACTATAACTCATTCCTAAACAGTATTTATAAGGCATATCGCTAGACAGCACCTCAGCCCTACACTTAGGGGCCTTTTTAAACAGAAAAGTCACCAACCAAAAAACAAAATGCAAAAAGCTTAGCATCGAAAGGATACTTGTTCATATTCTAGTTGTGAGAGTTGAAACCAGGCGGCAGAATGTCATCAGGTTCAGCTTCAGCTGGGAACATGCCTGCTGGTGACTTAGCTTTTGCTGCTCTGGCACGCTTGCGAATGAGCATGAAAGCACAGAATATCGATACTAGGATTAGGACTAAATCTCAGTGATAGGCAAATTTGCAAATATGGAATCCAGGAATAATGAGGACTGACTGTACACATGTATCCACATCCACACATAGGTTTATGATTTCTCTTATATATACATTGACCTAAAAATGTGAAACTTGCAGGTTAAAAGATAATTATATGAAAACCATCCATTTAAAAAAATTGTTTTCTAGGCACCAGTCTTTAGCATGGGCATACTAAGCTATATAAATACTAAGTTTCCAGCTGTTACTGCATTATGAGAAGATGGCTAGAGAGATTTTCACATAATCTGAAGGGTCAGTCTGGGATAGTGATACAATATAGGCTGAATTTTACATGAACTTACATGAATTCTGTTTGTGGGACACTGGGCGCCACTCAAAGACAGGCAGTAATCCTGCAGAGCAGTTCTAACAGGTAGAGAGAGGGACCAGCTGACAGCCGATTGCAAGAAACCTGCCATATACACCAAGATACTGTGGGCAGATAAAGTTTCAAATATGAGACCCAAACTCAAAGTCACAAGGGCAAAACGTCTGCAATTTCAGGAGTCGATCTGGATCAACTTTTTTCTTTCATATAGAAACTCAAATTTCTGGTGAATAGGATTTTAAGTAGGTAATCTTCTGAAAAGTCACTAGTAAAAAACACTCCCATTAAAAAAATCCACTTAGTTGAAACAAACCATGTCCAACTTCAGTGTTAAGTCCTTGTATTTAACAGTAACTGAAGAACAGCTTTATAGATCTCCACAATTATGTGGGAGAGATACTAGCACCCTTATTAGTGCCTTCATACAGTTTGTACTTAAACCTGAAAAACAAAAACAAAAACAAAAAAGGAATTCCAAACAGTGGGGATGTCAAGAATTGCTATTACTACCGGACAAAGGTATTCAAGTTCTAAAAAGGAAACACTGTTTTCCCTTTCTGATCATAGTTTGTTCTTTCCTCTTATATCCAGAGATTAACTTGCTCTAAAATTTTATTGAGATTGGTGAGGTTCAACTATGCTTAATATTCTAGGAACCTGACTAATGACTCTTTAAGAATAATCTTTTTTTTTTTTTTTTTTTAGTTTTAAGTTGTGCCTGCCCTTCCAGGTCTCTGTTTTAAAACAGTTATCTTTAAGATTACTTCTTTTTTTTTTTTCCATTTATTTTTATTAGTTGGAGGCTAATTACTTTACATCATTACAGTAGTTTTTGTCATACATTGAAATGAATTAGCCATGGATTTACATGTAAGAATAATCTTAAGGGTTGTATTGCAGTTATAAAGGCAACTATGCTTTAAACAGCACAAAACAGTCACCTAACATGGGGAGGTGATCTACTTCAACAGTCACTGATAAAAATCCTTTCAAAATATTTTGGGATTGGCTTTTAATAAAGCAACATAATTTTGAGTATCAGTGGTAGCAGTTCTCACCTTTGAAAAGTATATCTGATTTTATTATTAGTATTAGTGTAAGCACCGAGTCATCCTCAGGTAGGTGTGGTATGGAGATGAAGAATAGATGGGTAGTATGCTTTTTCAAAGGAGATGACTATTTTTTCTCATTTAGCTTCTAAACTGGTTCTGAAGATAATTCTGAGAGCTCTAAATGTTTTGAGCAATGTCAGCACTGCTGACAAAAATAAACTCAATTTAGCCCACAGAAATTTGTAGACATAACTAACCTTATGCCAAACAGGTTCAAATATATGTAAATATAACAAACAGCCGTGACTTAAATTTTGTCTACTTCCTTCTAGATGTGGCTAAAGCCCTGTAAGAGAACAGATATACCAGAACGACCAAGTTACACCGCCCCATTGTATAAGACAAGTGAGCGGAGAGGAACGCTGTCAACCACTGGCCATTCTACGAATTTTGTGATTGCCATGATTCTTCCCTCTGACCAGCCCAAGGAACACTGGATTGGACGGGGGGTAGCACTGTTGTGTCAACTTAATTCATAATTAGAAGGTGTCATTTCCCTGTTTTCGTATTCTTTGTTAGATGAATCAGTAGAAAATATATTTTACTTTTTAAAGAAGCTATTTGGTTTAAATCAATTTGACTAAAGTTATACTTAGTATTTAAAATGACTCATATGTCAAAGTTAGGAACTATTCTAACAAAGATTAAATAAGACACACTGGTATATTTGCTCTTTTTGAATAACTTTATTTTGGGAGTGTTCCATAAGCATTAGGAACATACATAAAATGACACACCACTGTTGACAATGAAAAAACAGCATTTGATCATTTCCAGCTTTATAAATTTAAAAAAATGATTCAGTTACAACAACAAAAAAAAGTTTAGATATTTTAGCAAGTATCACCTTGCAGGACCATAATCACATTTAAGCCACTGACTTACTGTTAATGGAAAAAATTCACACTGCATCTAGTTACTATAGTATTTCTAAGCATAATCACAGCTGATTGAATGCAATGTGATATACACCAAAATTCATATGAATGTCACACAGTGACAGCATTGTCCAAGTAACATTAATGACCTCCAACAAACACATGTTAAATTAGACTTGTCAAGCTAAATGGAATGTTGGAGCCAAACAGAAATGTAGTGGAATTCAGATTGTCTAGTAAGACTTGAAATTATACATTAGGATGATGTAAAAACTAAATACTGGTGGAACCCCAAGAAAAATACTAGCAGCAACTGTTACAGCCCTCTTAAAAGTTAAAAAAAAAAATCTAGCAAATAAAGATAACTACCATTTTTGAGAGAATATAAAACTATATACTTCAGCATAACCTATTTGCTTTAAATCAGGCATTTATTTTTAAGACTGGGAGTATATTCCAGCTGTTGCTTTTCATAAAAGTTTTAAAAGTAAGAAGATTTAATGCTGGAATGCAGAATCCTCCTTGGACATAAAGACCCCAAAATGAATTATAAATATACCTTGGTTCAGAAAGCAAGATATCTGAATCACTTGAAGTTGGCAGTACTAAATAAAATACCAGCACCTTTTAGCCAGGTTGCTTGAAGGGTCAAGCAATGAGATGAGGACTGTCCCAATTCAGTGCCCAATGCTGAAAGTAATCTATGTATAAAACTCCTACTTGTTACAGGAAGCCATGAAGAAAGCAAGAAATAATTTTTCAAATTCAAGCATAAATGATCATTTCCAGCTTTATAAATTTTTAAAAAATGATTCAGTTACAACAACAAAAAAAAGTTTAGATATTTTAGCAAGTATCACCTTGCAGGACCATAATCACATTTAAGCCACTGACTTACTGTTAATGGAAAAAATTCACACTGCATCTAGTTACTATAGTATTTCTAAGCATAATCTGAGCTGATTGAATGCAATGTGATATACACCAAAATTCATATGAATGTCATACAGTGACAGCATTGTCCAAGTAACATTAATGACCTCCAACAAACACATGTTAAATTAGACTTGTCAAGCTAAATGGAATGTTGGAGCCAAACAGAAATGTAGTGGAATTCAGACTGTCTAGTAAGACTTGAAATTATACATTAGGATGATGTAAAAACTAAATACTGGTGGAACCCCAAGAAAAATACTAGCAGCAACTGTTACAGCCCTCTTAAAAGTTAAAAAAAAAAATCTAGCAAATAAAGATAACTACCATTTTTGAGAGAATATAAAACTATATACTTCAGCATAACCTATTTGCTTTAAATCAGGCATTTATTTTTAAGACTGGGAGTATATTCCAGCTGTTGCTTTTCATAAAAGTTTTAAAAGTAAGAAGATTTAATGCTGGAATGCAGAATCCTCCTTGGACATAAAGACCCCAGAATGAATTATAAATATACCTTGGTTCAGAAAGCAAGATATCTGAGTCACTTGAAGTTGGCAGTACTAAATAAAATACCAGCACCTTTTAGCCAGGTTGCTTGAAGGGTCAAGCAATGAGATGAGGACTGTCCCAATTCAGTGCCCAATGCTGAAAGTAATCTATGTATAAAACTCCTACTTGTTACAGGAAGCCATGAAGAAAGCAAGAAATAATTTTTCAAATTCAAGCATAAATGAAGGAACTAACACCTAATGAGCCCCTTGCTTACACCACACAGGAGAAACACTGGCAATACTCTTAATACCTGGATGCATGTGCTGCTCTCGGTTCTGTTTTAAAGTTTATGGAGTAAGAGAAAAGGAACTGGGGAAAGGAGGAGGACTAACTGAAAACATTTTAAATGGAATGGAACGAGTTTGGCTCTTAAGTTTCTGAACAATAAGATTTTTAAAGCCACTACACAGGTAGCCAAGCAGATCAAAATAAAGCTGCCTGCAGGCAGTTCACATACAGTTTACCTGGCATAAGTGCAGAGCATGTGGCACAAGATGTAAACAGAAAGCGACATGCATGGTTAGTACTACAACTTATTAGGCCAAAATTCAGGGTAAATGTGGCTTGCACTTCTCACAAATCGTTCACCATTTATGGCAGGAGAACAGGGCACCTAAAAAAGAGACTAATCCCTACCAGGCACGAAAAGCACATGTTGGCACAAAATAAGTGATTTCAGCCGAGTTACGTAACTGCGTCTTCCAAGTCACCAGGTACCACGACAGCCAGGGCATCAGTGGAGAGTACCCTCAGAACCGTTCCTACACTCCGCGTGCAGACTGTGGCCGCGGTGAACCGCTGCCTCACAGCCTCACTGCCAGCCGCAGCGCGTGCTCTAGGTTCCAGGGCCAAACTGGCAGAGCACTGTGTACAGTTAAAACGTAAACTTCCCAAGTAACTCATTATTTCTGTTCAAGTAGGGTGTCTGAATATTTAGACCATGTTTGGGTTCTTCATTTTGCTGATATTTTCTAAAGGGTTACAATTTTAAGGAAAAAAAAATTTTTTTTTTTTTTTTACCACATGCTCCAAACCCCTTACCCTCACCAAAAAACCTGAAACAAAAATAAAAGTTAAAAAAAAGAAAGCCCAAACAACAAGTATAATATTAATACAAAGAACCATTATGAATCTTTCATTAAACTGAAGCTCACACAAATGTACAGTCACAAATTTCAGTAGTTTAGGCTGCAAGTTTAAACCCTATGCAAATATATACAAAAATAGTAACTCTAGACTCAAAGAATAAGGGCCTTTGTCCCGATGCTAAATCCATACTCTAATGCACCCTGAGCTTCCTCTAGCGCTACAGTCCTATTTTATGTAGCTTCAAAGCTATATCATGTTGATCCCTATTTCCATATGCAGCTGAATTAAGGGACACTGCAATTCACTTTTAGCACAAAGAAAAGTCTGCCCGAAGTCCATTTGAAATATTTTTAAAAGTTTAAGTGATTTTTTTTCTTTTCGGTTCAGTTTCTATTTTTGCATAGCCACAGAAGTTTCTACTAATAGAGACTACTTTAGTGTTTTTTATATGATTATTTCTTTATAAAAAGTCTTAATCAAACCTATATCAACACTGGTTCATGGAGTCCCATTTCCTCCTTTCTTTATCACAAGTTTTATATTTGTAAAAGACCCCTTCATGCAGGGAAAACAGCACTGAGCACTGGTCTCTGTGGTTAGGCTCAAATCTATGAACTTGTAAGTAGTGCAAGCCACTGGCTTTTCTTTGAGCGCCGTGCTTACAATACAAGGAATAGATGCAAAGCTGCATGGTGACATTCTCAGCATCAGCAGTGACTGCTGGGAGTGGTCAAAACTGGAGGTCGAACACAATTTTGTCTTCGTAGAGGGCGATTACCAGCATGATGGCGAATCCGAACAGCAGCCCCAAGTTCTGCAGGATGAACTGTCCCACTGGGCAGAAGCCGTGCTCCTCGTTGTCGCCCTCGCCATGCAGCATTTCTGGAAGCATATCCACCAAGGCTACGTAGAGGAACATGCCTTCATTTCTATTTTTCCTTGGTTTTCCACTAGAAGATGCTAGTGAAAGGCGATGCTCTGAATGAATGTTGCTCTGTTCGTCTGACATGTAAATGTCCTGCCGTTTCTTCAGTGCATATTATCCCAAACACAATTTTGTCTTCGTAGAGGGCGATTACCAGCATGATGGCGAATCCGAACAGCAGCCCCAAGTTCTGCAGGATGAACTGTCCCACGGGGCAGAAGCCGTGCTCCTCGTTGTCGCCGTCGCCGTGCAGCATTTCTGGAAGCTGAAACATATTGTGTAAATGTCTTAAAACAATCTTGTATAATCTCATTTTTTAAAACATTTTCCTACTTAAGAAAGTTAGTGACTAAAGCACAACTACTGATAATTTTGAACATGGTGCTAACCGTATTTTAGTCAAACACTTAGAAGTTTTATGCTCTAGCTATGTACTAAATAAACACTAAATCTGTGCCCTCCTCACCTCCCAACAGAACACATCATTTATGTATTAGCTACTTTTTTAAAGTTTTGCTGTCTACCAACATTTCTGCTAAAGTATAAAACTTTAGCAGTTTTGCCAGTGAAACTCAGAAAAGAATACCACAATTCCCATACTTACTGATATATCTTAAGCTCACTGAGAAAGTAAGATTCCTTTGGGAGATATTTCATTCAAAATTATCATTTATTTACCCTTTTCCATCTAAATTCTCATTCCCAACTGTACATTTCATCAAGGATACACAGTAACAAGACAATTGCAAAATTGATACCTCTATGCTCTTAAAAGCCATTATTTTTTTTCCAATAATAGACAGAAATAGTGTCTCAAGGCTGTGCAGCAGACCTACTACCAAGTCATGCATGACATCTTCACAATGTATTCTATTCTCTTAACAGTGATAACATTTTTAAAATTTGAAAGTCTCCAATATCTTTCTTTAAAGGCACAGTGCACTAAAAAGTATAGTTCAGCTTCTAAAGCACAAGCATATACCGCATTAAAAAATAATCCATAGAAAAGTAAAAAACTAAAATCTTTAATGTGTCTAAGTAAAAAGGATTTGCTGAAGAATGAATGTATGTGCATTATAAGCATACATTCTTCCCACCCAAACATAACCAAAATTAAAAAAGAACTATTTCCAATTTTCATATTCATTTTTCTGTTTGTTGTTTGTTTTTCAACTTTGCAGTGAATATCTACAGGACACTGATACGCTACTCTATTTGACACTAAACTTTTACTCCAAACAGTATCTTGGTACTTTGGTGTTTAGGGAGGAGAAATGCAGTGTTAAGTATATAATGTCTACAAGGAAGAAATATCATTATTCATTATTAAATAATGAGTACAATTAACCCAATTACCATGCTCTGACAGTGCTACAGTATATTTAATAATCTCCTGAGAGTGCTATTTAAGAACTACGTCATGCTGGCCGTCTATTCTGTTCATAGAAGTCTGTGCAGTAGTGTATGCTAATGGAGGTTACTGTTCTTACCCAACAGAATTTAGTAGAGACCATTATAAATGCCAAAGGTGAATAACTGTGACAGAGACTATATGGTCCACAAAGTTTAAATATTTATTATTGTTTCTTTTACAGAAAGTTTGCTAACCCCTGGATTAAGACTAAAACTGGCAGGTTCCAACCTATGATTTTAGAAAGAAGACTACTTATATTGTTACAAAAATTTTTTTCCCAAGATTTTATGATTACAAAAACTTTTAACTTTCCTTAGTATTTAAGCATAAACAATGTACATCTCACAGAAATATTCCCTCTAGACATGTGCACATACCAACAAGAAGAGGCACCACAGTGCCTTCCTGGCACTCAATTCTGTCCTGAGTGCTGACACCAATACTGTCTGTCATAACCACAGTTAAGAGCCAGCCAGTACCTACCTGTATGACCACAGGTGTTAACATGCAACAGTGCTTGTTGATAAACAGGTGCTATCCAAAGCTTCCAAAAAACCAGAAACTTCCAACTTGGTATCTATCTGAAACTAAAACTTCTGGTACTGATGCTATCTTACTTAATGACTATATAAGTCAATATAAACTTCCTCCTTTTAGCTAAAGTAGTCTTTATAAAACAAAAATGAGATAATGTCTGTCATTGTTGCTTAAACCTTTTAATGGTCTCCCAAAATTCATAAGATAGATTAATCTTTTTAGCACCGCAAATTGTGTGACTCATGATCTGATCACCATCTACCTAATTAATGACACTGTAGATATGTTACCTAATGTATTTCCTAAATGAGTCCTAAAATATATGTGGATAGTGTGTCCCTGTCTTTTAGAACACTTAGGTGTTTTCAATTGAGATATTATAACTACTCTGCAAAAAGCATTTTCATATGATATCATTTTTATTTGTTGCTTTATTAGCAACAATCATTTTGTTTCCTCGGGAGATACTCCCAGGAGTAGACTGACTGGTAAAAAAAAGGAATGATGTTATTTCTTATATGCCCTTTCCTCTTGATTCTGATAAACTCTTCTATCTTCTTTAATACTTAGCTCAAATTTCCTATTCCAGAAAAACTTGCCTAATTTTATTTCCCAATTTTTTAGCTAGCCTCTAATTCCACAAACATGGTACATCACTCTATCATAACATGTATCCAAAGGATTGTAATTGATGGCTACTTTTCTTCTTCATTAGACTATTAATTCCTTACTATAATGACACTCTTGTTCTTTTTACAAGTTTAGCCCTCTAGTATAAGAATTAGCTCATTCACTCTTCATTCAATTAATTATGAACTACTTCTCCAGCAGTAATTGAAATATTATAAAAATGCCTGCCTTCCAAGAACTGATTGCCTAATGGGGCACAAAGTGAACTCAATAAATAAATAAAATGTTTAGTATGTTATTAGTAAATTAAGTACAAGTGCAAATGAAAAAAAGTAAAGTAGGAATACAAGATGTGAAATGTTGGTGTGGAGACTTAAGTTTTAGACAGGGTGCCTCAAGAAGTAAGGGAGCTGGCCGGGAGAATGTCTTAGGAAAATATTCCACACGAGTGATCAGCGAGAGCCAGGACGCTGAGGCAGTGTGCCTCCTGGGGGAGCAGAAGTGAGGTAAGGCCAGGAAAATCAGGGATGGAAAGGGAGAAGAAACAGGAGGATAAAAAACCTTGAAGAGCAAAACAAGAACTCTGTGCTTCTGCTTTAATGAGACAGACAACCACTGAAGGGTTCAAAGCTCACAAGTGATATGATCTAATCTTACAAGGATCACTTGAAAAAAAAAAATCACCCAAGATGTGGTGATAGATACAGAGTGTGGAGGCTGGGACAAGGGCAAAAAAGCAGGGAGAACAGTTAAAAGAGAGATGACGGTGCCTGGAATGAGGGTGGAGTGTAGGTGATGAGGAGATGGAGCCCCAGTAGATGTGGGAGGGGCAGAAAGAAGAGAGTCAAAGAGTGACACTCAAGGTTTTGATCTGAGAAAGAATAAAGAAGAAGAATAACGTTATTGTTAATAGATGGAGGATTAAAAAAAAACAGATGGAAGATTCTAAAGGAAATGCTGGTGTAAAGAGTAGGATTGGCAAATATCAAGAGCTGGTTTCTGAATATTATTAAGTTTATAACACCTTTTAGATATTCAGGTAAGCTGGTAGATAACGCTAATCTGGAATTAAGGAAATGGCCTGGGCTAAAGATATAAAGAAAGGTAAAGTGTCAGTCACTCAGTCATGTCCAACTCTTTGTGATCCCATGAACTGTAGCCCACCAGACTTCTCTGTCCACGGCACTCTCCAGGCCAGAATACTGGAGTGGGTAGCATTCCCTTCCCCAGGGGATCTTCCCCACCCAGGGATCGAAGCTGGGTCTCCTGCGCTGCAGGCGATTCTTGCCTGTCTGAGCCGCCAGGGAAGCACACAGCTGACGTGACGCACCCTCACCGTGTGCACCCGGCCGCTCAGGCGCGCCTGGCTCTGCGGCCTGACGGGCCAGCAGGCTCCTCGGGCCACAGGGCTTTCCAGGCAGGGATGCTGGGGAGGGCTGCACAGTTAGGAATTATCAGCCAATAAACACTTAAAGCCATGAGACCAGGCAAGATTACTGAGAGGACTTTCATCAACATTCAGAGGTAAGGGAAGAGAAGAAAATCCAGCAAAAGACTAAGAAAGGCCAGAAACGTGGGAATTCAGGAAATGGTGGTGGTACAGAAGCCAACGGCCAAGGAAATCTTCCAAAGAGAAGAGAATGATCAAGCCAAATGCTGCTGTTAGGAAAAGTGAAATGCAGACAAGACAAACAGAGTCAGTGACCAGTGGATTTAGCAATGTTGTGGTGAATGGCAGATCTGACAAAGTAACCTGGGAGAGCAGTCGGGAGGAAACCTAATGAGCCAGACTCATGAAGGAAGAGAATTAAAAAACAAGAATGGGTAATTGCTATAACTGGGAAGGAGCATAATAAATAGGGCAGTAGCTAAAACTGAAACTGGAATTTAAAAAGATCCTCTCCCACCCTACCTTTTTAAGATAGGGAAAAAGGGAGAAATGTAAGGGAGCTGGGCGAGAGAGGGGATAGATTAGATCTAGAGAGCAGTTTGAAGGAGCTGGATCTTGCTAGGAACACAGACGTTTTTCCCCAGGCACAGGGACAAAGGTAAACAGGCGCCGACCCAGGGAAACGAGCAGGAGCAGTGACGGAACTAGTGGGGCGTTGTCTCGGTGGCTTCGTTGTTCTCCATGGGCCAGGAGGTGAGGTAATCAGCAAGTGAGGCTGACGGAGGGGGGGTAAACTGCTGCTTCTGGATATAAAGTAAAAAGTATTCTTTCTGACTGTCCAAGCTTGCTATAATAAATATTCTATAATTAAAAATTTAGGTTATAAACTGAAACGGGACTATTTAACAGAGTCTACTAGGAAGAAAAGTGAACAGTTATCTAGTTAAAAACAGAAAGTAACCAAATTATTAGTTCTGCAAACACACTGCCTAACATATTTAGGATACAGAAGTAAAATTAAACTACTTAGTGTTACAGATTTATTAACTTTAAATTGAAGCTAGAAATAAGGGCAATAACATAAACCCCTTGGAATATAGCCCATTTTCTGCAGAAGGCTGGAGAAATATAGTACTTCCTTCTTATTTGCTATTAAGCAAGCTCAAAGAATTATTTTGTTAACCATAAAAAAACACTTCCACCCCAATATTACAAAACCTTCAAAGTAGTATAGTAATTTTGTATACCTTTAAATATTATTGATGGTTACTTTGAGTAGTAATATTATTTGATCAAAAATTTTCAAGATAACTGGTTGCCAAAGAAGGAATCCTCCTACTTAAATATCTTTTCTTAATAGATTATTTAAGATATCACATGTCTTTAAAATGGGTTGTGTTTATTAGTCTTTCAAACTATATCCAAAGAGTTCTTCCATTTTTGGAAGTTCATTCTATTTACAGGTTTAGTATAAGAACAATGGAAGTTCATTCTATTTACAGGTTTAGTATAAGAACAAAAATATAAAATAAGCCGTCTTACCATATCCACCAAGGCTACGTAGAGGAACATGCCTGCAGTGATTGCAAAGATCCAAAGTGTGATGTTATTGGCATACTGACCAACAGCCGTGCCTATGAGCATGCCTATGTAAGCCATCATGGCAGAGAGGAGGTTGTATACAATTGCTTGCTTTACAGTCATGCCTGCTTTAAGAAGAACTGCAAAATCACCTGCAGTTAAGACATAATATAAGTTTTAAAACCACAGGATTTTACTTACAAATTCAGGAAAACACCGACAAAAAAAACAAAATTAAGAATGACATAAAAAGATACACCTTTATAACTGAAATTTTATAATGAAATTTTATTTTACTTATTAAACCTTAATACATGCAAAATTTGGGCGAATCTCAAAGGCATCATGCTGAAAAAGAGTCTGGAAGGTTATATATGATTCCATGATATGATATTCTCGAAAAGATAAAACGATAGTGATGAAGAGCACTTGGGGTCACCAAGGAGCCAGGATAGAAAAGGGATGTGACAGCATGAACGGGTTTGTTGAGACGATGGAACTGTTATCCTTGGTGGTGGTAATGGGGACACAAATCTATATACACGTTAAAATTCAAAGAACTGTACATCAAAAAGCAAGGTCAATGTTACTTGATAACTGCAATGAAAATTTTACAGAACACCAAAAAGACGTACGAAAAAAGAACTTCACCAGAGCACTTTTTGTGAGCAACAAATAGAAGCTCTCTACTTTGATCTCTGCCCTTTCTAAGGGAAATGGGCTAAGTAAGAACAGAGATAAGTGTATTGTATGCAGTTTACATTTATGTTTTCTTTATTCCAAAAGAAAAGTTATCTTAATTCTGAAAATCCTAAAAATGTAAAAAGAATAAAGAGACTTTTCTCACTCATCTGTCTAAAGCTGGTAAATAAAGGATTAAATATTCATCAGAGAGAGATTACTAGAAGGGTAAAATGTTGCTACAGCTAATAGTCTTGAAGCTAAAGGGTCAAAAGCAATAGTTTCATTAATTATAACTTTTTTTTTGTTTTAGCTACTAAATGTACAAACATCCAGTCAATTACTGAATGTTCAGTAGATGCAAGTTACTATACAGAATACTGAGGGCTGTTTCTTTCCCATGAGAAGGTATCTTACATGACTAAAAGCACATGATCTAGGTGTGTGTGTGTGTGTGTGTGTGTAAGTTATGATTACATGATTCTCATTTATAATAGATAAGTAGAAGTTAGCAACAAAGAAATTAGTGCAAGGCATTATTTTCCATGTTCTAATGAAATGCTATAAACTACATCCTGAAACATTACTCCTTAATACAATCAAGGAGATTATCTACCAATGGCTTCTAAACTGCTATTCTGCAGCTTCCACCTAAGATTACTATACATCCTGTATCTTCTCTCTTTCATCCTAAATACTTAATTCTCCTGCTGAGACTTGGATTCCATGTCAGTTTTTATCTCTTCTCTAGAGTTTTAAGTTCCTCTGGCCTTTCTTCCTCAGCTTCCTCTAAACAATGAGTTCCCTAACTTCTTCCACTACAAAGTTCCTCACCATACTTTCAATAATTCACCCATCTATTGTGTTAAAGGGACAATTTCATTTAGCAGGGTTTAGGTAATATAAAATGAGACTACAGAAGTGACTTTTAGGTTATAAAATACAGTGTTTCCTTTTATAATTTCAAATAGATTTTTTTAAAGGAGAATTATTGAATACTCATTGAACCAAAGTATCATGAGTACAAACATCGATTCTGATGCCTTTCTGATATTACTGGGTGGGAAGATGATTACTTTCATCTCTGAATAACCACCAAACAGCATGAATTAACTACACAAGATTCCAGATGAGATATTTAGTTAATACTTTTTAAAATTAAGGTATAACTTACATATACAATCCTCCCCTTTGGTGATGTTGAGTTTTGACAAATGTATATATATTTTTAAAAAGTATATATACTATGTAAACATTAACTATCAGACTCTGTTTCTTTACCTGCCCAAACCCCAAAATTTCCTTAGGCCCCTCACTTCTAGTGATCTGCTTTCTGTCCCTACAGTTTTGCCTTCCCTAGAACATTACATAAATTATGCAGTCCTTTGAGTCTGGATTTTTTTCTTTCACTTGGCATGATGTAAGATTCATCCATGTTACAATTTATATCAGAAAATCATGGCTTTTTAAAACTAAGTAATATTGCATAGATGAACAATAGCTTATTTATCCCTTCAGTAGCTTAAGGACATTTAGTTTATTTCCAATTTTTTATAATTATGAATAAAGCCACTATACACATTCATAAATAGATTTTTGTATTAACAAAAATTTTTGTCTCTTGTATGTAGATACCTAGAAGTGGGATTACTGGCAGCAATTTATGCAAGTTCTGGTTGCTCCCGATCCTTTCCAGCCCACAGTGACAAATCCAGTACTGAATTCTCATGTGTTTATCTGTTATTTGCATAACTTCTTTAGTGAAATGCCTGTTCAAGTATTTTACCCATTTTTAAAAAATTATTGAATTGTTGGTTTTCTTATTACTGAGTTGAGAGGTCTTTAAACGTCCCAAAAGATTTTGGTCAGACATATATTTTCCGAATACTTGTTCCGAGTCTTTGGCGTGTCTCTTCATTCTCTTTAAGTGTCTTCTGTGTAGTTTTTACTTTTTAGGAAGTCCACTTTATTACTTTTTTCCTTAGTAGAGCATGCTTTTGGTGTTGTATGTATAAGAACAACTTGCTTAATCCAAAATACACAAGATTTTCTGTGTTTTCTTCTAAAATTCCTTTATATTTTAAAATTTTTTTCACTTAGATCAGTGATTCATTTTTAAATTTTTGACTATGGCAGGAGGACTTTTTTTGCAAATAGATATCCAATTACTGCAGAAACATTTGCTGGACAAACTATTCATTCTACATGGGATTTCCTTTGCGCTTTTGTTGCAAATAAGCTGCTATATGTGTGCAGATTCTATACCTTGTTCCACTGATTTATGTACCTATTTTTTAACCAGTACAAATTGTTTTGATTATTGTGGATTTACAATAAGTCTTAAATTTAACCTTGGTTTACTTTTTAAAATTCTTCTGGCCATTCCTTTCCCTTTCCATAAAAGTTTTTGGAAAAAATTCATTTATCTCCAAAATAGTCTATTGAGATTTCAGTTGGAAATGTACTGAATCTACAGGGAGAATTAGTATCTTAGAAATGCTAAGTCTTTTGGTCCTTAAGCTTACAATAGATCTTCATTTAAGTTTCCTCTGATTTCTTTCGTTGGCAAATTGTAGTTTTCAACATACAGATTTTATTGTATATTTTGTTAGATTTAACCAAAGTATTTTGTATTTTTTGGTGTTACTGTGAAATTACCTTTTTAAAATTTTAATTTCTAATGGCTCAATGCTAGTATATAGCAGTATAAATGACTTTTATATGATATTCTTATATCATGATGAATCATTTAAGAATCTATCTTTGTCCTACTCTTACCTCAGGTTAATTTCCTCAAAGATATCTGCATATTTTTCTACACTTCTCTTCTCAGTAAGAACTTATATAAACATTTAAAAAATAAATCAAAGGGATCCTCAGCTGGAATTTACAGTGAATAAGCAAATCTATTCATCTTCTGACAAATCAATCTTCTGTCCTTTCTGCTGACAATGGATATCATTAGCACAAAGAATGAGGTGTGCCTACCAAAGCTGTTCTATTAATGTAATCCAATGTTATAATTATGTTAATAGCTGCTAATAGGAAATCTTTGAGATTTCTTTTTTTAAAAGTATATACTGTAAGATTCTTTTTGTCTTAACTAATGCATGTATATACATGTATAAATCTAAACAGTGAATGTTCAATTTTCCCTGGACAATTTAGCACATTATGAGTATCTTATTTTGAACTTATTTAATTCTTAATACTCGTGAGAGGGAAGGAAAAAATGGACAGCATTATAGACAGCCTCTCTAAGCTGAGTCTTAACACATTATTGACCAGGGATTTTTTTAAAAACTAATGCCTGTGGCATTAATATATCTCCAGTCAATAATGTGTTAATAACACAGCCACATTTATTTATCAAAATGTTATTTCCTTAAGTTAAAACATTACTCAATGTCAAGAAAAGAGTTTGGATCATCTACCTTTTTGGATTATCCTCAACCTCACTTCCCCTTTATACATTCGTATATAGGTTTTCTTATAAATTATTTTTCAAATGTTTCAAATATAGCTCCTTATTGAAAGGTAGAAAAAAGTGGAAAGAATGCAGAAGAATAATATTGCAACTTACTTAACTTCAGCTACACAAGTTTGGCAAAAACAGAAGGAAGAGTAATAAACCAGGTAATCTCATATCCGTTACCCTGTGCCACAGCAAACATGAAATGAGAATCTGGGTGTTCTGTTTCCTCTGATGGCTTCCATTTCTGCACACCTCTTACAGGGGACCGCCCTGTATTATTCTAACGTTTAAAAGTACATGTTTTTTCATATCACATTCCCAAACACACAAAAACCCTACCTGGAACACATTTAGAGAAATAGAAATCTGTTCAGAAGAGGAACATCAAAATTTGGAATTACTAAGTGGACTGAGGATCAGTCTCCAAGGTACTAGAATGTAAGTGACCCTTGAACGACGCAGGGGCCCAGTCGAAAATCTGTGTATAACTTATAGTCAGTCCTCCATATACTCTATTCCACATGTGCAGATTCAACCAACTGCAAATCATGTAATACTATGGTTTATACTATAGACCTTTAAGACACAGTAATGGGCACTTTGGTAAAATAGGGCCTCTACTGATTAGATTATCCACTCATACTCATTTGGAGAAGAACAGAATGTAGAGAGAGGCATAGAAGCTTCTGAGTCAGAATTCCTAGGCAAGGAGAAAAACCAGTCCCTTGGAGGCTGAGACAGATGCTTGGCAGTTGTATAAGTTGTATAACTTGGGATTCCTCAGTGGTTCAGTTGGTAAAGAATCTGCCTGCAATGCAGGAGACCTGGGTTTGTCCCTGGGTAGGAAAGATCCACTGGAGAAGGAAATGGCAATTCATAACAGTACTCTTGCCTGGAGAATCCTATGGACAGAGGAGCTGGGCAGGCCACAGTTCAGGGGATCCCAAAGAGTTGGACATGAATGAGAAATTAACTTTCACTTCACATTCATATACTATAGAAAAAAAAATTCTGCACATACGTTGACCAGCACAGTTCAAACCCATGTTGTTCAAGGGTCAACTGTACATGTTTTTCCCCTTAGGGTATCACTTTAGTATAAAAATCTCAGAGTAGTTTTAAGAATTCATAAACAAAAATTTAGCTAGGGCAAAACAGGTTTTATATCAAAGTATTCTAGAATGTGACATATTACGCTGTTTTGCCAACATCTTAAACTGCTAAGTGGAAAGAGGACTTGTCCCTATCCACCTGCCTAGCGTCTGCCTCAGCCTCAAAAGGACTGGTTTTTCTCCTTGCCTACGAATTATGACTAAGAAGGTGCTATGCCTCTCTCTACATTCTGTTCTTCTCCAAACAAGTATGGGTAATCTAATCACAGTAGAGGCATATATCTGGCCCTGTTTTACCAAAGTGCTCATTACTGTGTCTTAACGGTAAAAAGTAGGCTCCACGAACATTATGTGAAACTTCCCTTAGACCACCTCCACACTGTAGATGGATAAAAAGCCAAAGCCCTTCAGGCTACCTCCAGAGGAGGAAGCTGGGCGTTTTTCTTTATGATCTTCCTTTTCCAGGAGCTTAGGCAACTAGCCTGGGGTAGTTTGTCAACTTAGCACAAGGCACTGGGGGAAACATACATTTCCATGCCTCACTCCTCTCCTTCTGGCAGAGCAGATGTACATCTGGATTGGAACTTCCTCTCACAGCAACAGTGTTAGTCATTCATTCGTGTCCCACTTTTTGTGACCCCACGGACTGTAGCCAACCAGGCTCCTCTGTCCATGGGATTTCCCAGGCAAGAATACCAGAGTGGGTAGCCATTCCCTTCTGCAGGAGATCTTCCCGACTCAGGGATCAAACCTGGGCCCCCTGCATTGCAAGCAGATTCCCTACTGTCTCAGCCACCAGGAAAGCCCCACATAGCAACATCTTAATCTCTGGTTTGTGGGGTAGAACAGGTAGAGGTTTGGAGTCTCAATATTTCACCGAGGCACCTTGGCTCAGGCTTTCACCAGAACTGTGCACTGGGTATCAAGCAAGGGCTTCCCTCGCCAGTAAGCTGTGTATACATTGGTCTTATGTGCAGTTATCACTGTGTGTCACTCCCGTCAGGAAGGAAGTACAGGGGGAAGAAGGGGTAAGTGACAGGAAGGCAACCGTCCCTCATTTCCAAAGTCTGTGCTGTCAGTGCTGTGCTGAAATGGAGCACGGCGAGTGGGTTAAGGGGAATTCAGTATAGCCATACTTAAATCACAAAGTGACCCCACATATTCCTTTTACGGGGTAGTGGGTGGGTAGGAAGGAAGCTGAAGGCTTTCCTGGCATACTATGGATGTGTGTGTGACTATCCAAGTTTATTACTAAGCAAACTTAAAAAAAAAAAAGGGTTAGAACTATTAGGCAATGTTACTCATATATAAAAACTAACAGTCAGTCTTGATTTGTGTTGCTACTGAAGTGTAAGGAAGTTATTTGGTACATCATTCTCTTACTAGCATAGGAAAGCAGTTAAATATAACTGTGAGATATAATATCTCACAGTGTAAGATATAATATCTGCACACAAAAAAACCTACATGATAAGAAAATAGGATGTCTAAAAGGGATATACTAAGCATGAAGAGAAGGACCTAGAGAAAGTAAGTGATAAGTTTAGAGGAAAGATAAACCTGAAGCATGGTGTACTGGAGGGCAGTTCCGAAGCTGGAGGAAGGGAGACTTAACATGCTGCACTAGGGACAGAGCTAGCAGGACCAGCCGACTGGGAGGGAAGAAGCGAAGAAACAGGCCAGGCACCCAGAGTGCAGGTTTGGGGAGCTGTGTTTGGGTGAAGTCGAAAACAAGTAAGAGCAATTCAGTGAGTGAGGCTGCAACGGTAGGTAGAAGCCAGAGGTGAAGGTCACTGAAAGGAACATTAATGACTCTCAGCTTTTACTTTATATGCAAAGGAAGGGGACTGAAAGATTTTGATTAAATAAGCACATCACATCTAGTCACATAGTAACAATGGCGTATGTCAAGACAATAGGTATGTAAGATACACTGGAACAGAATGAAACCAGAACTGTAAGTACTCCCTATGGAAACTGCCCAAGGAAGAGATAATGAAGGGTCTGGATGAAGGATTATGGGGCATAAACAGGATATATGATTATATGCCCACGGTTGACAAGGTAAATAAAACTGTAAGGAACCAAGTCCTAAAGAATCAGTACCAAGTAAGCAGTAAGAGATTTTTTAACTTTATGTGAGCAGTTGGTAATTAAGAAAATTATATAAGTTAATTCTACTTAAAGTGAGCCAATCAGTGTACTACCAATCAAGATAAACATTGTCAAAATGATAGACATTTCAGTCAGAAGAAAGGGCATGTAAAGAAATTCCTTGGATACTCAAGAGATGCAGTGTTTTTTCCTTTCAAATTTATGTCACCTTCATATCCCTCAGATATTTTCTATGTGAATGTATGTTCATATTTTTTCTTCCATTTTTCAATTTATAGGAGGAAACCAAAACACAAGAGAAATTAAAAAAATGACTGCTGTATCAATAAATGCCTATTAATACAATAAAGAAACATCACTGTATACCTTATAAATTGACAAAAATTAGAGAGTTAATGCTAAGTGTTACCAGGGATGTGGAAACAAAGGAATTCTGTTATTACTGCTAGAGAGGACACTAGTTTGATCATTCTCGATAGTGATATGATACTCTCAGGCATGCATATCTTAGGATCCATCAGTTCTGTTCCCAGGTATATACCCCATAAGATGTTCTCAGAAGTGTCTCTCAGCATCAAGTCTACAGATGTTTAATGCACCATTATCTGTGGTGGCAGGAATTTAAAGGATACATGGTAAGTCCAATTACCAGGTGCTAAGTATGTAAAAATGTGGTAAATATGCACCTTCAAGTACTAGGCAGAAACAACATATTAAATTAATTCATGGAGTTAAAAATATACTGATTAGTAAATAAGTTAAGAAACAGAGTGGGCTATAACTTAATATTGTTTACATAAAATAAAAATACATAAGAAACAATACACACTTCTGGAAACACATTAACAAAAATTTTAGTAAATAAGAGAATGATGATACTGAATACTTGCCATCAGCCATTTTTTATCTTTTAACATCTCTAAAATTTAGATGCATTTATATAACTCTTACATTTGATGAAATCTGATAAATTTTAAGATCATGTTACCTAATTCATGTGGCAGTTCATGACAGAAGACAGCTATAGATGTACTGATTCCTCCCGTCAATCCAGCACTGAAAGCTGCTCCTGAGGTTGAGGGGTGGGGGGTGGGGTGGGTGGAAAAAATCCAAGTGACATTTACTGATCTTCTCTTTTTCTATTTTCATTCATAATGGCAGATGCATTCTCTTTTACCTAATTTCATAATGTATGAGCGACTCACTAATCTCAGACACTATAGTTTTTGAACACACAGAGAATGAAGTGCAACAGGCACGTGACAACCAGAGAAAGCTACTGAATGAAATGAATATTCCCTATGAATTAATTTCTCTATTTGTGTAATCTTCTGATTCACTGACAGCTTCAGAGTAGTAACAGCTTTACTGCTTTAATCTCTGACCTCAATTTTAAGTCATGTAAGTCTGTAACTGCACTTGTTCTTGCAAACTAATATTTATAGATATTTAAATATTTAAAAGTATCCATATCCAAACTTTTCTAGGTATAGAGCATGAATGGTATAAATTATTATTTATCAGATGGTCCTGAATACTGAAATCAGAGGTATAAATGCGTTTGATACTACTTGTAAAATTCTTTACTCTTTAACAATGACAGCCACTGTAGCTTCAAAAATATGGTCTTTCCTGAAAGAAACCAAAGCCTACTTCTGAATGAGTATTTAATAGTCTGGATCTCAAAAGAAAATTATGCATTGATCACATTTAATGTTCTCCTAAACTGGTAACATCAGTTTATATTAACAAGATTCTGATAGATGTTTGAATTTGATAGAATGGATTTTTACCATTGTAAAATTTTTCTTCACTTTTTTAAGTATAAAAAAATTTTTAAATCCAAGATTCAAATTCATTTGTTCTCATTTGGAAATGTATAAATGTATTTGAAAATATGTTAAGGTAGCTTTTTCAATATGTTAACTATCCCTTCAATAAGAAATCAAGTTACTAAAGAAGTATACTGCAGACATTTGTTTACATGTTCAAAGAAAAACCCACTGAAATTATACCTTTATGCCCCCAAGTAAACTTACCAAAGACCCTACCATCCCCTTTAGAAAAGCCAAATGACAGACTAATATATAATAGTATACTTGTTAAGCTCCAAGATTAGTACTAAAACAGTGGAAAACATAAAATGGTCTTAAGGAAAAACAAATTGTAACCCAAGTTTTAAGCCTACTTACCAATTGCTAACCCATCACTGAAATTGTGGATGCCATCTCCCATGATTACCATCCAAGCGATATTAGCTATTCCTGTTTCTTTCAGATCTGATCCAGAATGACAGGGACCATGTGAATGATGAGAATGTTTGTGGTGCCACTGATGATTATGCTTCCTCAGCACAGTTTTACTCTCGTCATGGTGGTTATGGGCCGCAGCATGGAGGTCATGCTCATGGATGGCATGCGTTCCATCACTGTGAGAATGGTCCATGATTTTCTCCTCTTCTATACGAAGGTAATTTTTAGGAGGGGATTCTTGCTGCCCTTCTAAATCCGTCAGTTCAGTTTCATTAAGTCGATCTTCAGAAACAACTGAGTCATCAGTTCCTATATTTATAATGGCAAAGGATATGCTTTATCAACAAGTACATGAATGCATATTTACTTAATTTAAACCCAGACAAAATAGCAGTGTAATGAACATTTCCTAGGTAAATGTCTTTTACAATTCCTAAATAGATATTAAAAAAACAAATAAAACAAGTAAATATACATATGCATACACATAAACTGGGATTTTGAGAGTCTAAAAGATGGACCAGATGAAGTAAATGAAGGGAACTGAAATCAACAGCAGGCAAAGAGAGGCGAGAAACTGGCACTCATGAAGACATTGTGAAGCTCAAAGAGCACATCACCAACAGTTGGAAATAAGAGTGGGAAGTTACTGTAGAATTCCCATGGTAACAAATAAACCATAATTCTTCAGAGAACAAAGGAACCTTAAAGTTTACCCACTCTAACTTTCTCTTATCATTTAAGAAAACAAAGAAAATTTAAATCACTTGCATCCTCGAGGTGCTTTACATATCTGAATATTTCTAGATTGTTAGGAAAATGAAGTTTAAAAACCCTTAAGTGATAACATGTCACATTTTTTTTTTTTAAATGAAAGTTGGCTTCTCACCTAGTTTACAAAAGTTATTATATGACAAAGATTTGCTTCACAAAACGTATTTTGGGGCAGAGTCTACAGTTAATATCTAGGCTGCCTCTTCTACAGAAAATCATTAGTAATATTCAGGGGAAAACATAAGTTCACAAAAGGGAAAAATTAGAGTTAAATATTAGGTTTTCCTGAAAATTTTAAGCTATCTCATTACATCATTCACAAAACACAATAGATGAATGGATGAGCAGAGATTTTTATGTAGAAGATCACTCTCCTTTAAGTACAAAGGCCTTCTTTCCTTTTCTCACATGAAAACAATCATATATGGAGGGCATTACCAAGAAATAAAACACTAATTTAAAGATGCTTTGTTTCATTTTTTTTTCCTGTAAAGTAAAAAGTGCAACATTTTCCTTGCCTGGTAATATAATGAATTGGCCCTATATCCCAGTGTAATAAATAAGGCTGAAAATAATCAGACATGAACAAAATCAGTTGAGACACATAAAGAAATAAAAGAAACTAATATTAGAGAAGCCACAAAGACAAGAAATTTCAAACAACACAGGTACATTTTAGACACAAAATTTCAATTTTTATATTTTAAAGGTTTCTCTTTAGTCAGAACTGTTGTCTACCGGCAAGAGGCTTGAGCTGAAGCCAGTCAGCATCTGGTGTATTATTTAATTTATGATCTGAAAGCTTCCTTCCAATAGCCGATTCTTCTGTATTCTGCTTCATAAACCATTTCTGTTTTCCCTGAAAAAAAAAAAGAAAAATCTGGTATTAGCATTAAATCTACAGTCACAATTAGCAACAGTATTCACTGTTAACATCTATGGGAATAAATGGTGGCAATTTTATAAAATATTAAGAAAAGGAGAAAAAACTTTTAGAAGTTAATCAAAAGGTCTAACCAGATGAAAACTCCAACTAAATTTGCATATTTTTTTCAAATATTCAACTAAATGGTCCAATTCATGTATTTCCAAGGTAAGAATAGGGTAAAGAGTACTGTATTATTATATGCAACCCAAACAAAATGTGTGCAATATATGTAATATTGCTCTCATTTAATACTGTGTAGGAATGGGAAATTTTAAAAAACAAAAGCTTATGCCTTTGAATTTCTTTCTGTATTTATCACAATGTAATACCCCTATATGTGAAAACAATAGAGACAAACTTGAATTAAAATCCTAAATCTACAGTTTACCTTTATGACACTTGGACAAGTTTATTAACCCTAAAAATATTCACCTTTAAAACGAAAATGAGATTCTCCCAAAGATTAAATGAGGTGATATATGAAAATGACCCATTAATTACTGACTTAACAGCTTTACAATAAAGACAACTTTCCTTTCTCATTTAATCTGTTCTCTACTAATAAAGTCTGTTATATTTCATTGTTTAGTTTTGAATTCTCCTACATTATCTCTTAATAGTCTGGCTTCTTCTCATCAGTCTATCACTAACAACTCTTCTGACTTAAATTTATACTTCTAATCAATGTTCACTTTTAAAAAAGCAAATAAGTATCTTATAACAGAATGAAAGTAAATCCTTGCTGGTTCTGCTTATAGGCTGTGGACTACGTTTTAGATGTTTAAGTCTTCTAACTGCTGCAATAAGTAATTTGTTATGGAGAGCTGAACGTGCAGTAGAGTCTCCAAAGATGGTCACTATCAATTTCTTTTCTCCCTGTATAATTATTCTTTTCCATCCATAAGGCATCTTATGGTGGAATCTATTTAGGAANGGCCACCTAAATGCAAAGAGCTAACTCATTTGAAAAGACCCTGATGCTGGGAAAGATTGAAAGCAGGAGGAGAAGGGGACGGCAGAGGATGAGATGGTTGAATGGCATCACTGACTCAATGGACATGAGTTTGGGTAAGCTGTGGGAGTTGGTGATGGACAGGGAGGCCTGGCATCCTGTGGTTCATGGGGTCGCAAAGAGTCAGACACGACTGAGGGACTGAACTGAACTGAACTCCTTGTCCCCTAAATTTTCACAGGTCTCTTGACTTGCTTTGACCAAATAGAATCCAACAGAAGTAATTCTGTGCTGGTTCTGGCCTAGTCTGAGATAAGCCTGGCACCTTTTGCATTTTCCTCAGGGAATTTGCCCACTATGCTATGAAGGAGCTCAGTCTAGACTCTGAAGAGAGGCCATGTGGAGGAGTACCAAGATGCAGAAACAGACTGAGGCATTCTGAGACCTTTCCAGCCCTGAACTGCCCTAGTCAACCCAGACCAGCAGAGTGTGAGTGAGTCACTCGAGCTGACACCATGTGGAGCAAAATAACTGTCCCACTGAATCCTGCCTATTTTGGGGGCTTGGGGTTGTTTTGCTTCAGAGCAATAGATAGTAGAAACTGAGGAAACAGAAAATGTTCAAAAGGAAGTAATACGGAGACACCCTAAAGAGAAGAAAAGAAACAGCAGTTTTAACATAAGATGAAGAAAAAAAAGGAAGGAGGAGACAACAGTACAAAAGCCAATGAGACAGATACAGAAAATAAAACACCAGCTGGGAATTTGTTTAACTGCTCCGTTTCTGACTGTCGATTTTCCTAAAATCTTGCCAAATGACTACCCTCAAAGCCCCAACTTGCTGAAACCAGTCAGCATCTGGTATGTTACTTAACTTGTGTTCTGAAAGCTTCCTTCCAATAGTTGATTTGTCTACACAGAACAACAAATGTCTGTTCTACTCAAGTATCACTAGTTACCTTTCTTCAAAAAAACACTATATACTTTTTCATCTTAGGTTACTTATTGTCCTATTTATCATAAAGGAGGCGAACTGATTTATCTACCTAGATATACTTTGGTATACTTGAAGAAAGCCTTACTATTACATTTAGAATGCCACATAGAGAATGGTATATTTTTCAGATTTTAACTTCCCACAATTTGAAATTTACAAAAAATTGCCATGATTTGACAATTCTATTCTCATGCATCAGTTTGCTTTATAAAAATTTGTTTAATTTTGTCAGTAAGTCTAGGTTCAAAATGAGTTCAAGATTAAATTATAAAAAATTTATTTACTCTGAACTCTTAAAGGATTACATTTTATATTTATCTGTAAGCTATACAGCCTCTAATATTTAGTACTCATCAAATATATATTTGCTGCTTCAGCATTGCTGTTGCTCAGTCGCTCAGCTGTGTCCATCTCTTTGCGACCCCATGGACTGCAGCACACAGACTTCTCTGTCCATCATCTCCCAGAGTTTGTTCAAACTCATGTCCATTGAATCTGTGATGCCATCCAACCACCTCATCCTCTGTCATTGTCTTGTCCGCCTGCCTTCAATCTTTCCCAGCATCAGGGTCTTTTCTAATGACTTGGCTCTTCAGATCAGGTGGCCAATGTACTCAAGTGTCAGCTTCAGCATCAGTCCTTCCAATGAATATTCCTGGCTGATTTCCTTGAGGATTGACTGGTTCAATCTCCTTGAAGTATAAGGGACTCTCAAGAGTCTTCTCCAACACCACAGGTCAAAACCATCAATTCTTCGGTGCTCAGCTTCCTTTATAATCCAATTCTCACATCCATACATGACTACTGAAAAAAACAAACATAGCTTTGACTAGATGTACCTCTGTTGGCAAAGTAATGTCCCTGCTTTGTAATATGCTGTCTAGGTTGGTCATAGATTTTCTTCCAAGGAAAAAGTGTCTTTTAATTTCATGGCTGCAATCACCATCTGCAGTGATTTTGGAGACTAAGAAAATAAAGTCTGTCACTGTTACCATTGTTTCCCACCTATTTGCCATGAAGTGATGGGACTAAACATCAAGATCTTCATTTTTTGAATGTTGAGTTTTAAGACAAATTTTTNCATTGCTTTTCTTTGGAATTGGAATGAAAATCGACCTTTTCCAGTCCTGTGGCCACTGCTGAGTTTTCCAAAGTTGCTGGCATATTGAGTGCAGCACTTTCACAGCATCATCTTTCAGGATTTGAAATAGCTAAGCTGGAATTCCATCACCCATACTAGCTTTGTTCCTAGTGATACTTCCTAAGGTCCACTTGATTTCACATTCCAGGATGTCTGGCTCTAGGTGAGTGATTGCACCATCATCGTTATCTGAGTCATTAAGATCTCTTTTGTATATATAGGTCTTCTGTGTATTCTTGCTACCTCTTCTTAATATCTTCTGCTTCTGTTAGGTCCATACCATCTCTGTCCTTTATTGTGCCCATCTTTGCATGAAATGTTCCCTTGATGTCTCTAATTTTCTTGAAGAGATCTCTAGTCTTTCCCATTCTATTGTTTTCCTGCTTCTTTGCATCAATGTTAGAACACACAATTGAAAAAAATTAGAGCCTCACAGTAATTCCAAAACTTTTTTATAACCCTGCAATTTGTATTGTGTTCTAAATTTGTTATTTACAGAGATGGACTTTAAATTGTTTATCTAATCAACTTCTTCTTGATTCTCTCATTTAAATAATTCTCTTAATCACATTCTCTTCCCCATGCCATGACTCAAGACCTCTTCACCTCTCCTCTAAATATCCTGCAGTAATCTCTGATTCACTTCCTTCCAGTCAATCTTACTTTGGCATCCCTCCCACCATTGTCAATTCTTCACCTATCCACATGACCTTGCACAAGCCAAATGCTGTTAGATCTCTTCACTTTTCTCTAAGTTGATCCTTCCCAGGTCCTTTGACCACTCCTGAGATAACACTTCACTGAATGCACCATCTTGATCAAATCTCCTCTGGAAGCAATTACATACAATGCCCTGACTAAAAGATGGCCATGAAAATGAAATATACTACTTGGAATATGACATGAAAATACAGATGAGAAGTAGGGTTTATTTCCTCATGCATTTAGATAACAAGAAATCATGATGGATGAATCAAAGTTTCAGAGCTAGTTTGTAACTAGACAAGAAATAGAATATCAGTTCATAGTTCTATTCTAAGCCATATGTCCCAAGAGGATATATACAAAATACATATATACACAAACAAAAATATATCTGTAAAAAAAACAGCATTAAAGTTCTAAGAGTGGACTATATATATTATGATGACAGTGACTACCCATTGTTCTTGAAGATTTTTTTTTTCAGTATTTGTAGCTAATTAAGAAAATGTAAAAATTTTCTAACTTGTTGCTTTGTGAAGCTTTCTAAAAATGTCCTCTAGGATTTACTTAAACAGAATATACTGAAAACAATCAGCATCAATATCACAATCACGTTAATGAAATGTATTCAAGAAGAGCCTGAGAGACAGATGTGAACAGGAAGTGTGTAAATCATAGTGAATGACAGTATCTTATTTTCTTATGGGAAAAATTCTTTTATATATTTGTCTTATTCTACTAAAAGTGACCTGAAAGACAGTTCATGAAACAGGGCATTTAATCAATAGTCCAAGTACCATCTCCAAAGTGTTTTGTTACTTTAAATGAACCACCAAATCTTTCATTTCATTAATATTTTCTTCCCCCAAAGCCCTCTGAATCTAAATTCTTCTTACCTCTAGTACTTACTTACACCATTGGCAAGGCATTTCTGGTATAGAAATTTGTTGTGTGAGAACACTGTCATTAAAAGATATGTCAATGATAGCCTCTAATACTTGAAAATATTACCTATGAAGACCAATTAGACTTGCTTCTATTTATACATTTTTGCATTTTTAGTAAGCATAAATTGGCCAATATTTTTCCAGACTATTTAAGTTAACTAGATAAGAAGCAACACAAAATTAACTGAAAATGGACTCCTATATCTTGATTAGAAATGCTTAAACAAATGTAATAACAAAAAAAAAAAACTGGCAAAGATCAGTTTTTCCTCTGAAGACAATCTATTCAATGATATTTAATACATACCAACACCATGATTAAGAAAAAACACAAGGCCTTCCCGAAAATAAAGGTTTTGAATTCTACCTTTCAGAAAACAAATAACTAAAAAATACTTACCCTTTGCTGTTTGTAGTGCTTAAACATTCTAATGCAATGTTCGATGATAAATAATAAGTAAATGCCTCCTAGAGCAACAAGTCCTTTCAATACAGCATCATATTCTTCCAGAAACTTCTTAGATTCATGTCCATGAGAATGTCCATGCCCATGTGCATGTTGATGACTGTGATCATGTCCGCCCTGAGACTATTAATGAGAATAAGAAAAGCTTCTAAACCAGTAATTAAAATGCTACTTTGAGAATATAATCTCCAGAAAAAAAAATCCACTGTTACATCACTTGAATATAAGTAGTCTTCCATTCAATTTTGTTATACTCAGTGGCCTGGAAAGTACTACACTTCATGGTAAATATAAACCAAAGACCAAAAATTTCAAACAGCTATCGGGGTTAAGATATTAATACATCCTATAGTGACAGAATCAATCCAGGAGTAATAGAGGCAATGATGGGTCCTTTGTAAATTGAAGTAAATATGACCCAGATATAAGACTTATTATCTGTAAAACTAAAATAGACTAATTTACCAGCAGGTAACCATTTCTAACTCCCTATAATCTAACTTTCTCTTAAGCTAATTTTTATAATATTTTTCTTTTATAAATTATTTCAAAGAAGTGATGAGATGCTATGTCTGCATATACTGTTGAACATGACAATAAGTATATAAACGTGTTTAATTTTCTACATTTTTTAAATCTTTAACAAAAACAAATGTTTGTACAGAAACAAAGCTCTTTTAAAACTGCAAAACATGTAAGTTCTATCATATTAATCTTAGAGAATGTAAAAGAGAACTGGTCCTCAGTATTTTCCCTCCTTGTAACATTTATTTACAATCTTTCCTTATTTGCAAGTGGTCAACAGAAGAGGTTTCTAAACCTCTTAAAAAAGATAAGACTGTTATAAAAGGTAATAGCTTCATTTAATTAACACTTCTTAAGAAAATAAATAAGTTAAATAGCACTTAAACACTGTTTGCACTTCAACTGCTGGCCCAGTTCTGAAGCAGACTGTTGCTACGCTTGGTGGCCAGGGACAAAGGGCAGGCAAGGGGTTAAAATAAATGGGAAAATAGGTCACACAGAATAAATCAGCAGCAAAAAATGCATATGCACAGTCTTAATATTAACTTTTTAAAAGGCAATGCCATACAGTGTTCCAGACACTATATCGGGTCTTCTCAACCAGGAGTGCAGAAGGGAAGAAGAAGTGTACCGAACACACAAATAAATGCTGTCTCCCAAATACTCCAGAAGGGAAGAGATGAGAACTTAAATATTCAAATCTATAATTTTACATTCAGAAAAGAAAAAAGCTCTGTTGTTTCCATAATTTGAAGGAAAGAGAGTAATACTGGTTCAAACACTCTTAACTGGTAATAAGCCTTTTAAAAGGTTGAGAAGCAAGGAAACAGGAGTGTGGTGCATGTGCCTGCACAAGTGCTCCGTCATGTCTGACTCAGCCCACCAGGCTCCTCTGTCCATGGGATTTTTCGGGCAAGAATACTGGAGTGAGTTACCGTTTCCTCCTCCAGGGGATCTTCCCTACCCAGGGATCGAAAAACAGTGTCTCTTGCGTCTTCTGCATTGGCAGGTGGATTCTTTTACCACTGCACCAGCTGAGAAACCCAGGAGTGTGGACTTATCATATCATTAGAAGTGTTCCCAAATGTAAGAACACAAGTGGTACAGCAGGTGAAAAGATAAATGGCCCCATGTGTAAAGAGGTTAAACACCTAAAATCATTAACTGAAGATGTCTGCCTATTCTTGCTCAAATAAAGATGCCTGTGGAGCATTGGCTATGTGCACAATCATCATAAAATACCATATACATTTCTTCTAATGGCTTTCTTGAGAAACCACAAAGATAAAACACTCACTGATTACTAAGTATTCACTTTCAGAACTGTTAATAGAGCATTTTTAAAATTTCAGCTTCACTGAGGTATAAGTGACATATGTAATTGTAAGAGAGTTAAAATGTGCATTGTGATGATCCGATACGTATATGTTGTGACAAGTGAAGATATAACTGACACTATCAGTTTTTGCTATTTTAAAATCTAATAAATTCAATTTTAAAAACACTACTTAAAACTGTACAAATGAAAAAATACTTCATCCTATAAGCAATATAACAACAGAAATATTAGATTAGTATGCTACAGCTTGCTAATAAAGGACCCTCTTAGCTGAAATACTTTTACCTCTTAAAAAGATTTAAAAGGTTTCTTACATGGGGCAGTAGATGAAGAAGGGCGTCTCCACTCATTGTTCCTACAGCTAGTGCAACGAGGAATGTAAGAAGGAATTTGAAGCATCCTTGGTTAATGATAGGAACCAAGATCACGCCTAGCAAGGAAAGCAGGCTAATGACAGTGATAGAAATGATACCACAAATCCACGCTGTAGGAAGAAAGTAATGATCAATATTAGTATGCCATTATAAACAAAAAAGCTCCAACAAATAAACATATGATAAATGAGTCATGGAAGACTGATTATCATACCCAGACTGTTTTTTAAGAAACTTTGTATTTTGGCTCTAGTGTGTTTAAAAACAAAACAATTATATTCAAGGTGGTGTTACCGTGAACACTTAAAAAAAGAACTAAACTCAGACCAAGTTAGAAATAGTATTTTCAGTGGTCTACCTTATTAGAAACAGGGGCTTAAAATGACTTAAGGCTGTGGTTCACTTACACTATTTAGATTTAAATAAAAAAAGGTTTAATCTAAAATGATATTTTCCTAATCAAATCTAACAGGACTATAAATCTGCTGAAAGATTTTTATGTCAAGATTTATGATAAATGAATAAAGGAAAAATGCATTTCTTTATCAAGATAACTTAAAATTTTCAAAGACAGAAATAAAGATAGATAAGAAAAAACTTTAATTGACCTGCTAAATGCTAAACTATCAATAAAACTGTTTATTCATTGGACATTTTAGTCACACTATCCAATAACCTTAACACTACAGCTAATTCTCGTTAGCTAAATTAGTTCTGAATAAAACAATAGGTCATCTGTTACTAATGGAAGCACTGTGATTTATCCTATATGTAACAGATAATTACCCCGATATAACACTGGGAAGCTGAAGGGTCAAAAAAGATTGAAACACAGCCAGAGACTGAATACACTGGCTTCCATCCTTTTTAAGGATTTTGGGGGCAATAAAGGAACAGAAATTCAATTCTCAAAGAATCAAGGTCAAGGAAAGATTCATCTTGGTAGTGGATCCAAAAAACAAGGAAATTTCTCCCAACTATGGTTGGGACTACCAGGCACAGGGAACTGGGGTTAGAAACAAACAAAAAATACCGTGTCATATAAAGAAAAATATAAGGTCAAACAAGGTTTAAAGACTGACTTCATAATGATGACCAAGTTAAGTTACTTTATTTGTGTGTGCCCCATGTAGGTTGGAACAATAAAATCAGTGGGTGGGAGAGCCTGGTTGGAGAAAAGAGACCATTAAGTATACATGAAGTCAAGGAAGCAATCAAGTTACTGGTCAACTAAATGAAAAGAGCTTTGTCAAAACTACTGTAGCTCTCTAGCTCCAATCAAACTACCGGGGGGAAGATAATTAAAAAGGGAGAGAACAAAAGATATGATAACTAAAAGGGAAACACCAAGGCTAATAATGAAAACACTAAATCTGCAGATAAAATATTTTACATATTAATATACAACTCTCCCTTCCCAAATATATTTTTCCTTAGTTTGTCAATAATCCAATCTAGAGGCAATATATCTCAAAAAGAGCCAATCTAAAAGATACTTTAATCAATAAATTAAAGAAAAAGAGCACAGAATAAAGAGTCTATGAAGCCATAAACATTTTAAAATGTTCTGTGATGATTTACAATCTCAAGTGACTTTTGGTCAATTAGTCAAAACTCAAGTAACCAAATAAAATCGAATTTGGTGAAAATCAATTGCCAGTATGCTAACAGATGAGCTAAATACATTGTAGTGTAAGTTGCTCAGCTGCGTCTGACTCTGAGACCCCCATGAACTGTAGCCTGAGAGGCTCCTCTGTCAATGGAACTCTCCAGACAAGAATACTGAAGTGGGTTGCCCATTTCTTTCTCCAGGGGACATCCCAACACAGGGATCAAACCCAGGTCTCTTACATTGCAGGCAGATTCTTTACCGTCTGAACCACCAGGGAAGACCAAATACATTTATAACTGAAGACCAATCACTAGCAGATTGATACACAAATAAATTAGACAAATGTTTACACATGTAATTATGTGTTAAAAAGGGTATACAAGTTCATATGTGCCCAAATGGGTATATGTCACATATTACACACTCCCAGGTATAATTTCTCACTTATCAGTGTTGTTAATTATATATCTTTCTCATCCACCTCAGAAAGCAAATCTAAACTGAAAGAAATGTCTGAAAGAGAGTAGCTTATTTAACGATTAGAAAACCACTGGTATTTGTGCTGACATCTGAAACTCAGAGAAACTCAAGAAAACATAATCCTGCAAAAGCCTCACATGAATCAATCCCAGGTCACAGCATTGCCCAACTTCCAAGAAGAAACTCAGATACATGCATGCCTGTATTCATTAGAGCATGATTCACAATAGGCAAGCATACATTGATGAATGAATGGATTAACAAAATGTAGTGTATATATGCCATGGAATATTACTCAACAATAAAAAGGGATGAGGTTCTGATACATGCTATAACATGGATGAACCTTAAAAACATTATGCTGAGGGTTTCTCTGGTGGCTCAATGGTTGAGTCCGCCTGCCAATGCAGGAGATGCAGGGTTGATCCTGGGTCCAGAAGGATCCCACGTGCCACAGAACAACTAGGCCTGTGTACCACAACTATTAAGCCTGTGCTCCAGAGACCAGAAGCCAAAACTACTGAAGCCCGAGGGCCCTAGAGTCCGTGCTCCACAACAAGAAAAGCCTGTGCACCGCAACTAGAGAGTAGCTCCCCCTCGCCACGGCTAAGAAAAGCTCGAACAGCAATGGAGATCCAGCAAAGCCAAAATAAATACATTTATAAATACACTTATAAAAACTAAAATAAAACTAAACAATTTCCTACATTAGGAAAAAAAACATTATGTTGAGTATTTCACAATAAAGCAGACAAAAAGACAAACACTGTATGATTCCTCTTAAATGAACTATCTAGAACAGTCAAATTCAGAGACAAAAGAAGATTAGACGTTACTGGGGGCTGAGGTTAAGGGGGAAATGAATTATTGCTTAATAATTACATAGCTTCTATCTGAAAGTGAAAGTTGCTCAATTATGTCCAACTCTTTCCAACCCCATGAACTATACAGTTCATGGAATTCTTCAGGCCAGAATACTAGAGTGGGTAGCCATTCTCTTCTCCAGAGGATCTTCTCAACCCAGGGACTGAACCCAGGTCTCCCACATTTCGGGCATATTCTTTACCAGCTGAGGCACCAGGGAAGCCCAGCTTCTATCTGGGTTGGTGGTTAAAACAAAAAGTTGTAAAAAATAGTGTGATGGTTGTACAACACTGTGAATGTAATAAATGCACAATGGTTAAGACAGCAAATTTGATGTTATATATATTTTAGCATAATAAAAAAGTTAAATAGTTAGCTAAAAAGGCAAAGTCAAAACTAAACCCAAAGTCCCTTCTTAATCCATTGTTATTTCCAGTAAATCATAGTATTTTCAGAGAATATTTGGCCAAGTGACTTATTTATCACCTTTGTCTCTCCCGAAGTAGCTTCATATAAAAGGGAAGACAGCTTCATATAAAAGGATTTACAAGAAAAATAAGTATAATTAAACATGATAATAAGAAGAAATACTAACTTTATTAATCCAAATGGCAATCACTCTTTCAAAATTTGAGCTAATTAGGACAGAGGAAGAGGGACAAAAGGTTACTACCAAACTTGTAGCTACACAAGATTTTCAGAACATATGCCATTGAAAATACATGTAAGTGTAAAGTTAATTAATTTCACATATCTATAACCCATCTAACACAAAGTATTACTTATTTTTGCCAGTGTCAAGAAATAAAAGAGCCAAATTTCCTATTTCAGATAAATCAGAATTTTTTTAGTTATTTTCTACTGCAACTGTTTCATTAGCAAAATAGCCCTATTATCCCATAAGTTTATGTTATCATACGTGTTTTCTTATGCTGATTTCTTATTAATTTTAAATAATAATTTTAGCTTCCTAGCACTAAAACTTTAAGTAGTCATTCTCCTAACAAGTTATAAACATTCTTCAAGGAAAATTACTGTTTCTTTGACCTATGAATAATAAAGTTGTTTTGAATTTACTGTCCTTGAAATACTTTCCCACGCTATTTAAGTACATACTTATTTTCAGAATTAGTAACATACACATTTAAAGCTCAAATATCATAATTTCCTAGATGTTAAAAAAAGCCAATAAAATTGTTTTGATTTCCAACCAAATTATTTTTTTTAAATCACAATTTGTTTGGTATAAAGTCAAAAGAAACCCAAAATAACAATAAATGACAAATAATGAATCTTGTAAAATTCATACCAACATCACTATGCAAACTATTAAGTACAACTAGCAAATGTTTTCTTTATTTGTACCCAGGATACCGTATGCAATAAAAAACACTAAATGTCTGAAACAAGCTTCACTTATTCTGCAAATTAGGTTGCTTAAAACGTTAAAGGTCTTCAAGCTTAGTTATTCACCAACTCCCTTTCTCATTATCTAGAGAGAAAATGCATTCTTTTAAAAAGAAGCGCTCATCTGTGGAAACTTTCTAATTAACTTGGTTCAAAGCATGTGCAAGATGGCAGTTTTCTACACTGTTTCAGCATTTTAATTGGTGGAAAATGCTTAGCAGCCTATTCACAACCCCCCCTTGGTAATTAAGCTAGGGTCAACTCTATGACTAAATGAGCCAATCTTGAGAAACAAATGATTTCTAACATCCACAGTATATAGCATATTTGGTTTACAGCAGTCTTTGAACAGTTAATGAGGTAGTAGCTGTGTCACTACGGGAGATTTATACAGAACAAGTTAACCTTCTTAAATGGTGCAGCATTCATTAAAAATAATTACTAGCAGGGCATTCTAACAATTATTAACATCTATAAGGACATAATTAATTCAAGTTTCATTTCTGACAATGCTAATAACCACCTGCAAACAACTAATCAATATTCACTATTAGTCATGTAAGTGTTTTCAAAGCAAGTACACTTTTCTCTAAGGTTTTTTAGACTGAATGAAGTGCAATTTTCAATACTACTATAGTCAAGCATCTGTCAACAGTTTTGTTAAAATATATAGACTGTATCAATATTATGACATAGACAACACTAAGTCATAACCCACAGCTAATGTGAAAATAAATAACTAGAGTTTTTTAAGAAACTGTAGAAAAAGAAAAGGCTATTAGTTTTAACTCTAGATGCCTCAATCTTTTCAGCCTCCATTTTTCTCCTGTAAAGAACAAATGAATTTTATTTTTAATTAAGATAAATAATCTTAGACCTAGCACACACTTTTACTCCTGCCAGTGAGAATTTATAAGTGCCTGAGAGAGACACTGGCTCTCAAGGTGTTTAGTTATCTAAAGATCAATGAGCATGAAGCCAGCAAGGGGACATATTTTGTCTATCCAAAGATCATTATTCAAGTCTAGTGTGTGGACTCACTTTCTCTGCCCTTTCAGATCTTATCAGACTGAACCCAGCTTGTCTACTAGAAGACTATTCTTAGATTTTTTTCTAATGACTAATCTATACTTAGAGTAATACTTACTTACATCAGTATTTACCTGTACCACTTTCCTGTCGACATCTGCTTTATCTGTCAAAACACTAAACTCTCCTTATCTCACGTACATTCACGTACATTCTGGCCAAGCACACTTAAGAGCCTTCTCAGCAGGAAGCAGTGGAGCATAGCCCAGGGAAAGAGCACAGTGGTTTATTACCGGCTTTAGATGGAGAATACTCTAGTTCCCATCACAGCTCTGTTATGTGATTTGGGCATGTTACTTAACTTCTCAAACCTCCTTTCCTCAGTAAAGAGAAGTAAAGAAAAATGTCTAGCTCATGGGAATAACAAATTAAACTCTTATAAAAGTGGTGTTTAAAATAGCACATGGCAATAAAGTTCTAATAAATATAGGCTATTATGATTAATTTATCCATTCTGAGGTTATTATTTTCCTATTGCAAAGAAATTAACCAAGAATAGGTAGGAACCTAGGAGATTTAGTTATGTATTGAGAGCATTTCTTTTATGTGTAACTCTTTTAAGCATTAAGGAATGTCTCTATCTCAAACGGAACTTTTTTTTAAATTAATTTTTATTTATTTATTATTTTTATTAGTTGGAGGCTAATTACTTTACAAACGGAACTTTATACTAGAATGTGATATTCATAAACATGTCTACCTTATTGCTCTACTGCTCTACACTATGAAAACTTTTTAAATGCTGCCCTTTCAATCTTTTACTTATTTTATCAAAATTCTGTTTTTTCCAGCTCATATTCATATACATAAATTTAGCCACTTTAATTACTATTCCATTGGTACAGAATCTGCCTGTGATGCAGGAGATCCCAGTTCAATTCCTGGGATGGGAAGGTCTGCTGGAGAAGGTGGCTACCTACCTCAGTACTCCTGGGTTTCCCTGGCAAAGAATCTGCCTGCAATGTGGGAGACCCCAGTTTGAGCCAAGGTTGGGAAGATCCCCTGGAGAAGGGAAGGCTACCCAATCCAGTATTCTGACCTGGAGAATTCCGTGGACTATACAGTCCACGGGGTCGCAAAGAGTTGGACATGACTGAGTGACTTTCATTTCATTTCAATACCACTATATCTTAGGCATTTCAACCAGAAGTGCATTCAACATGATTTTGCACATATGAAGTTCATGAAATACCACTCATTCTTCTTGAGAACACTGTATTATCAACGTACACTAGGCTGACTTACAGGTGTTCTTTCTAGGTTAGAAACGAAAGTTTATAGACTAATATTAAGCAATTTATTCATTCAATCAATATATGAGTGTTTACTTTTTGTCCAAAGTATCTTTTATCTCAGGCACTAGTGATGCTCAGATGAAAGACCCAGTCACTTCCTTTAAGCAACTAAAGGCAAACAAAAAGATAACTAATCCAATTATTAAAATCCCTGAACTCTGTGCCATGATGGCAATATCTGGAGGGTGTCAAGGTAGGGGTCTTAATTAAACCTAGTACAGTCAGTTAAGTTATTCCAGGGAGACCAATAATTGAGGAATCACAGTGGTCAACCAAGCAGAGACACTTACAAAGTAAAAAGGCAGAGAAGAATCAAGGAAAACCAGCATAATCTATTATCATGGGTTTGTTAAAATTAGAGGTAAGAGGGAAGAAATGAATGGTGGAAAATAGAGATGTGACAGTAGGTAGACATGGATCATATTCTGAAAAGTATGATTGGGGGGTAAAAACAAACATATAAACTTTGAACAACATAGCATAATGCAGTATTTTAAAATAAATGAGGAAAAATATACCTAGAACATCACATCAAATCCATGTCCTCATAGCTACTACTACTTACAATATTAAAAAATGTAAAGAAAATACTAGAGATCTAACGAAAATGTTAAGTAACATTAACAATATATGGCAAAAATCACAAAGGGGATATCAGAATTCCCTAAATTTGGAAAATAGCACAGTGATTAACCTCAGACTTGGTCGGTTTTATCATTTACTAGGTCTGGGAACTGTGGGCAAGTTACTAACTTTTCTATATCTTACCTTACTTATTACCCATAAAAACAAGAATCATATAATAGCTTCCTCAAATAATTCAATTAGTATTAAAATTTAGTGAAGAAAAGTATGTAAAAACACTTTGCACATATGAATACCAAAATGATTTAAGTTTCCCAGAACTGAATTCTACCACTACTGCTCACTAGTTTTGAGACCTTGGAAAATTTTTTAGGGTAGCATTCTCTACTTCATAGGATTGTTATGAGGAGTAAATGAACTGAGTATAGAACAGTGCCTACAATACATGTTTATAAATAAATAAAAGTCCATGTATTAAATAAATAGTGGCTATCACTAAAAAGAAAAATCTGTGTCAGAGCGTCCAAATAAATCTAGCTTAAGTGCTAAGCATGATCTATGAGGGGAACAGAAACACAGGCAGGGAAAGTTATGGAGTTATTTCAACAACTCAGTAAAGAACCAAGGAGGATATGAACTAAAGTTAAGACAGAGTGGACAGAACTGAAAAATACTTAAGACTCACCTGGACTCAAAAACTGATTATACAAGTGAAAATAGGAAATGAAAACAGAAACCATACATAGAGGAAAAACATCAAAGACTTTCAGATTTTATCAAAAGAATAAATTGGAATGACATTTGGGATTCAATAAGAGCTACAAATTTCCTATGGAATATAAGTTTCAGAAGGAGGTACCTATAAACATCAAGGTGGAGCAATCTAGCCAACTGGATATGATGAAAAAGTACAAAGAGAGAAGTTCAAAAATAGTTCTGATTTTATCCATTTGGTTTTACTAAGTGCCCATGATGAAGTTCATGTGCCAATCACTGGCATTCTGAGACATTCCTAGAGTTTCACCACACTAGCTTCCTTTTTCATGTCCTTAAAAATTTTGTAATCTTGGCTTTTCACTAGAGCCCCTCATCTTGCTAAATATTGAATAATTATAACATCATGTAGCTTTAATTAATGGCCCCTTATTAACATCTGCCCATAAAGAAGAATCTATTTATGAAAAACCTGCATTCCCTTTCCAATCTATTAGTTCTCTGCCCACAACAAAATGTTCCTATGTAATGCCAGAAGAGGTGAGTAAACCATTATGCCTGTCTTCCTCCAGTCTTTTCTGAACACACATACTTACACATGATTAAAATACACCGAAAGACACAAAAATAAGGCAATCATTTGGAATTGCTTTCTGATTCCAACTATATTTTTAAAAAGAGTACAGAGACTCTTTTGAGGAGAAAGAACTTGAATCTTTCTTACCTGATGCCCCTATATTTGCATTATCTTCAGGAACCTGATTTTTATCCTTATTTAAATCTTCAACTAAAAGTTTGTCAAAATGCTCAATACAAAGTCGGCTGTCAATCTGATATAACAAAGCAGGGCAAAGGTATGTAAATAGATCAGATGAGATTGGAGAGTTGGCACGATGACCATGGTATTTTAACAACTGAGTGACGTTCAAACACTGCAAGAAAATTGATAAGACAAATTAAGAGTACTTTAAGAAGATTAGGCAGAAAAACTATTATATAGTAAAATATATTCTAAATATAATTTTAAAATAATCTTCAATATAAATATCTACTACAAAGAATGATTTCTAATAGGAATTTATGATAGGAGAGAATTCAACCTGATTACCCAAAACTTTTTATGGATTTTAACCATTTTCCACTGCAACATATAAAAGATAATGACTTTCTGCCATTAATAAGAATGATTTAGAACTACAGTCCCAAGATCCTGAAGGAGTGAAGAAAAAAAGTAACTTCCCTAGGCAAACTGCAATCATCAGTTGCTCGAGATTCTTATTTGGTGAAACTGTTAAATAGACTTAAGAGTACTTTAATAACTTTATATTAAAATATAAAAGGATACAGACATTTTTACTACCTAAGGTACCCCAGAAGAATATCGTATAGTGAAATCCTATCCCAGTGCTAAAGCTGGAAGATTAAAAAATGCAGCTTTATCCAGTAGAACTTTTTAATTACAAAGTATAACAAAACTAAGAAGAAAACAAATAACGAAAAAAATGTGGATCCATCACTACACAAATATCTAAATCTAAGGGAACGGAGTATCTCTTTTCCACACATATGCACTCTGGTTGCATGCTTGCTTATTGTATCTACAATGCAAAAACACAAAATCAAAACATACAAACAAAAATGATTTTTCTCAGGTCAAGTCTTTACATGAGGTACTACTACCCTATCTAATGCACAGAGCATTTCCAGAAATCTTGAAAAAAATCTCCACTATGCATCAGGCCTATGAGGATACAAAATAATAAGACTGATGATCCAGACCTCACAAGAAGGATCCAAAGAATAAACACGGTTTAGTTATGATAATGTCTAGTTATTATCAACAAGAGACTCTAGGATATTACCCATAGTAATAAATTAACAATTTCCTTAAAAATACACTAATATTTTAAAATTTGCTGAAAACCAAATATCTAGTGATTTGTCTAGTAAAAAAACAAAGATATTTACTTAGAGGTAAAACACATTTCAGTAATAAGAGACGAAAACAAAGGTTGAGGTCATTTTCCACAACAGATGCTGCTTTTTATACATCTGAACAATAATAAATTCAACAGCTTTTCCTAAACTTTAATGAGAGCTAAATATAATAATAAGGGTATTGATATATTTTTAATGAAACAAAAATGTTTTTAAGGTAAATAGCTGTTTAAAAATCACGAAGTAACAAATCGAATGTGAAAGTATTCAAAGGAGAACAAAAATTTAGAAGAAAAAAGAGAACCATCCCATTGCTCTTGGCATTTCTCATTATTATATCTTTTTGCATTCACTGTTCATCTGTCAAAAGCATGAGAAAAGACTAATATGAGCATGTAGGTCCTGTGATAAAGTGACAGAGAAAACAAACCTACCACATGTACAAAATACCTGACTTTGGAACTAAGTCAGTGACTGGGAGTCATCTGTAGTTAATTCAATAAGTTAATTATTATGAAGATGAAACTGTCTAAACAAAAAAAAGGACTTCAATTTTCAACCATCTAGAAACCGGTTAACAGAAACAACACATAACCTAACTTGGAGAGTCAAAACAAGTCTTAAGCAAGAGTAAAATAAGGAATAAAAGAAATACATTTTCTGACAACCTTTAAACATTTAGAATTGAAGGAACCCAAATTGAAGGAACCCAAAGGAAAACAAACAATTCAAGTAAAAATGCAGATAAAAATCTTTAATCTGATTTTTATCCCTTAATGTATTTTGTAACTGGAAACAAGTTTGAATACGGTTGTCTATTCCTCTGTTACTTTTCTTTTTACCTAAGAGTACTTCAGAATCATCTGAGAATTACAGAGCAACTACCTTATTCTGCTTACCTCATGTTGACGATCATCTTCATTATGATCTTTGTGACTAGCAGCTGAATAAATTGCACTTTTTTTAACATGTGGTGCTTCTCGCTTTCTAGTATGTCGAAGTTCACCTTCAATATCAGGATCAAGATCTTGGTGTCCATGACCAGGATCATGACCATTATGTTCTGGAAGACGTACATGAGAATGACCTGGGTTATGTACACGATCAGGTTTGTGGACCCGATTATGTTCATACTGTTCACCCTGATCATGGTTAGAGGGAAAACCTGGTGCAATAACCCCAGAATTTTCATTACTTTTCTTCTCTTTTCTCTTCCTCTTTCCTTTTGGTAGCTTACTTTCAGATTGCTCCTGTGTTTTATTGGTCTCTGTTGAAGGTTCATGGCTAGGCTCCCCATGCTCACCGTGAGTAATGGAATCATTAGGAAAATGGCGAGTAGTGTTATGATCAAGGTGATGACGCAAACAGTGGTGATGACATAAGCGATGACTGTGGTCATGCATATGTTTATCATCAGATTTGACAGACACTTCAATTGTCTCTTTCTCTGGATCACACTTACGGTTTCTTTTTGCTGATACACTGGTCACAGTTTGATTTTCTGAATTTAAGTGATTATGGGAATGCTGGTGGTTATGTGAGTGAAAATGCTTTCCCTCTTGAACTGCCAAAATATCTAAGTGAGAAACATGATCGTGGCCAAGATCCTCATGATTAATCTCAACTACTTTTATCTCTCCAAGGCCCAAGTTTGTTAAAAGTTTCTCCAGACCAAAAAAGGATAATCTTCCATTTTCACCATAACGGTCAAAAAGTTTTTCAATATAATATTTTTTTTCATTTTCAGCATCCAGCACTGAAAATTCGCTTGACTCCGATTCTGTCATTCCACGATGGTGTCTGTGATGCTCTTCAGAACCATGGTCATGTTCTTCATGGCAATGGTTGCAATGATGGAAAATAAATGTCAGCAAACAAATGAGGCAAAATTTTGTGTGCATATGTACCTTCATTTCTATTTTTCCTAAAGGGAAAGAAAAATAAGCATTAGTTTATACTTATGACATTAAAAATAAACAAAACTTTTCAGCAATTGCCAATTTACTAGGCAAATGTTTTACCTCATTTCTTTCATGATTATGAATTGTCCTTTCCTTCTGCAATCCCCTATAAAAATAGCCCCTTTTATCAGAATATTGTATAGCCCTTCAAATTAATACAAGTTTACTTAAAACTCACCTGCAAGATTACTGACTCTCTTTTAAGCACAATACTTTATGGTCTATGAACATTTATACAGGAAATGCTGGCTTTCTTCCTATTGGGCCCTTTACAAAAAAGTTTATTGGTTTCTGTTCTTGACACCCTGACCAGTACAATAATGTAGTAAGATGAAATATAATAAAAAATGTGTAAGAATCAGAAAGGAAACTGTCATTATTCACAAATGGCAGGACTGGATATGCAGAAAGCCCAAAAGAAACTGTAAGAATTAATAAGTTAATTTAGTACAATTGCTAGACCTAAGGACAATTAACTCTATTTCTCTACACCAGCAATAATCAGAATATGAAATTAGAAGTTTATAATTTATAGCAGCAAATAGCTAGAAATAAATCTAACAAAAGATGTATAAGACTTTTTCATAAAAAAAGGATAACATATTACTGAGAGAAGTGAAGGACCTAAATAAATGGATGGTTTTATCATGTTCAAAATTGGATGTTTTAGAGATCCAATGTAATGCCCAACTAAACTTCCAAGAGTTATTTTATGAAAACTGAGGAGGTGTTTTTTAAACTTTTATTTATTTATTTATTTATTTTTGGTGGCCCTAGATCGTCATAGCTGAGCATGGGCTTTTTCTAGCTGTGGAAAGCGGCAGCTACTCTCCAGCTGGGGTGCGCATGCTTCTCCTTGCAGTGACTCCTTGTGCAGAACACAGGCTGGAGGGCGCGTGGGCTGCAGCGTTGCAGCCCTTGGGCTCGAGTGCAGGCTCAACAGTGGCGCAGCATGGGCTTGGCTGCTCTGTGGCATGTGGGATCTTCCCGGACTGGACCAGGATCAAACCCACGCTCCCTGCACTGGCAGGCAGATTCTTTACTACTGAGTCACCAGGGAAGCCCCTTGATCAGGTGTTTTTAATGTTTATATGGAAACAGAAAGGGCCAAAGAACAAGACACTCTGTCTACCAGTTACTAAAGATAGTGTGGGTATTTGGTGGAACAAAGAATGTAGTATGAAAAGAGAAAAATTTTCTTTTCCTTGGAGCTTAGTCAACTAGATATCCATATAGAAAAAGAAGAAAACTTGACTCCTACCTCACACCATATGTAAACAACAATTATAGATGGATTGTAAATGTAAATCTAAAACAGTAAATTTTAGAGTAATAAAGGGTCCAAAACTGTACTGCCCAATACAGTATGTTAAAAAAATTACTGAGAAGCACCTTGGCCTCAGGCTTAGTTTGCTCTTAAGCAGACAAAACAAGCATTTTAAAATTAGTTTTATATGGTGATATTATTAGTTAACACAATGTAGCTTTTTACAAATATTCATAAATGCTTTAAATTGGGTTATCATGTAATCATATTACATACCTTTCAACAAGAACCCATAAGCAGCAAGTTAATTTCACATAGTCCAAAACTTTAGCAGACTGTCATTGAATTAAGTGCTATTCATTATTTTTGGAAGTGGCCACAAGCAGCTACTTAAATTTCAGTTCAGTTCAGTTCAGTCGCTCAGTTGTGTCTGACTCTTTGTGACCCCATGAACCGCAGCACGCCAAGCCTCCCTGTCCATCACCAACTCCTGGAGTCCACCCAAACCTATGTCCATTGAGTCGGTGATGCCATCCAACCATCTCATCCTCTGTCGTCCCCATCTCCTCCTGCCCCCAATCTTTCCCAGCATCAGGGTCTTTGCAAATGAGTCAGCTCTCCGCATCAGATGGCCAAAGTATTGGAGTTACAGCTTCAACATCAGTCCCTCCAATAAACACCCAGGACTGATCTCTTTTAGGATAGACTGGTTGGATCTCCTTGCAGTCCAAGGGACTCTCTCTCCTTCTGTCGGTTTTGAGACTGCACCCAGGAACTGCATTTCAGACTCTACTATCATGGCTACTCCATTTCTTCTAAGGGATTCTTGCCCACAGTGGTAGATATAATGGTCATCTGAGATAAATCCACCCAAGCCAGTCCATTTTAGTTCGCTGATCCCTAAAATGTCGATGTTCACTCTTGCCATCTCCTGTTTGAGCACTTCCAATTTGCCTTGATTCATGGACCTAACATTCTACGTTCCTATGCAATATTGCTCTTTACAGCATCGGACCTTGCTTCCATCACCAGTCACACCCACAACTGGGTGTTGTTTTTGCTTTGGCTCAGTCTCTTCATTCTTTCTGGAGTTATATCTCCACTGATCTCCAGTAGCATATTGGACACCTACCTACCTGGGGAGTTCATCTTATACTTACAGAACTTTTAAAAAATTGTATTTATTTTTAATCAAGAATAATTGCTTTACAATATTGTGTTGGTTTCGGCCATACAGCAACATGCATAAGCCATAAGTATACATATGTCCCCTCCTTCTTGAACCTCCCTCCAACTCCCCATTGCTCTAGGTTGTCACAGAGCCCTGGACTGAGTTCCCTGCAGCATACAGCAGATTTCCAAACAGTAGGGTATAGGTTTCCCTGCTACTCTCTCCATTTACCCCACCCTCTTCTTCCCAGCATGGTGTCCTCAAGTCTGTTCTCTATGTCTGCGTCTTCACTACCACCCTGCAAATAGGTTCATCTGTATCATTTTTCTAGATTCCATATATATGTACTAATATGCAGTATTTGTTTTTCTCTGAATTCACTCTGCATAAATAGGCTCTAGGTTTATCCACTTCATTAGAACTCAAATGCACTACTTTCTATCACTGAGTAATATTCCATTGTGTATATGAACCTCAGCTTCTTTATCCATTCAGCTGCCAATGGACCTCGAGGTTGCTTCCATGTCCTAGCTATTGTAAACAGTGCTGCAGTGAACACTGGGGTACATGTATCTTTTTCAATTACAGTTTTCTCAGGGTATACACCTAATATTGGAACTGTTGGGTCACATGACAGTTTTATTTCTAGTTTAAGGAGTTACCATACTGTCTTCCATAGTAGCTGTTATCAATTCACATTCTCACCAACAGTGCAAGAGGGTTCCCTTTTCTCCACACCCTCTCCAGCATTTGTTGTTTGTAGATTTTTTGATGATGGCAATTCTGACTCAGGCGAGGTGATCTCTCAGTGTAGTTTTGATTCACATTTCTTTAATAATGAGTGATGTTGAGCATCTTTTCATGTGTATATTAGCCATCTTTATGTCTTCTTTGGAGAAATGTTTGTTTAGGTCTTCTGTCCACCTTTGGATTGAGTTGCTTTTCTGGTTTGAGTTGCATGAGCTTCCTATGTATTTTAGAAACCAATCATTTGTCAATTGCTTTTTTTTTTTTGCCTTTTTCCCATTCTGAGGGTTGTTTTTTCACCTTGTTTATAAAAGTTTCTTTTTCTGTGCAAAAGCTTTTAAGTTTAATTAGGTCCCATTTGTTTAGGTTTTTTTATTTTCATTACTCTAGAAGCTGACTCTAGGATTAGTCACAGAGGATCTTGCTGTGATTTATGTCATAGAGTGTTCTGCCTATGTTTTCCTCTAAGAGCTTTGTAGTTTCTAGTCTTACATTTAGTTCTTCAATCCATTTTGAGTTTATCTTTGTATACGGTGTTAGGAAGTGTTTTAATTTCATTCTTTTACATATAGCTGTCCAGTTTTCCCAGCACCACTTATTGAAGAGACCATCTTTTCTCCATTGCATATTCTTGCCTCCTTTGTCAAAGACAAATCCATACACCTATGGGTCCCCTATCTCTAGGCTATCTTGTTCCATTGGTCTATAGTTCTGTTTTTATGTCAGTACCATACTGTCTTGATGACTATAGCTTCATAGTATAGTCTGAAGTCAGGACGGCTGATTCTTCCAGCTTCATTCTTCTTTCTCAAGATTGCCTTGGCCATTCGGGGTCTTCTGTGTTTCCATACAAATTGTGAAATTTTTTGTTCTAGTTCTGTAAAAAAATGCCATTGGTAAATTGATAGGGATTGTACTGAATCTGCAGATTGCATTTAGCAGTAGAGTCATTTTCACAATATTGATTCTTTCAACCCAGGAACATGGAACATCTCTTCATCTGTTTATATCATCTTTGACTTCTTGTATCAGTATCATAGTTTTCTGTACACAGCTTTTTTGTCTCCTTAGGTAGGTTTATTCCTAGATATTTTATTCTGTTTATGGCAATGGTAAATGAGATTAATTTCTTAATCTCTGATTTTTCATTGTTCGTGTATAGGAATGCAAGTGATTTCTGTGTATTGATTTTGTATCCTGTGATTTTACTAAATTCACTGAATTAGCTCTAGTTAATTTTCAGATATAGTATCTTTAGAGTTTTCTTTGTACAGTATCATGTCATCTGCAGTGAGAATTTTACTTCTTTTCCAATCTGGATTCTTTTTCTTTTCCTTTTCTGCCATAGATAGGACTTCCAAAAATATGCTGAATAATACTGGCAAGAGTGGGCACTCTTGTCTTGTTCCTGATCTTAGAAGGAATGCTTTCAGTTTTCACCATTGAGAATGTTTGCTGTGGGTTTTATCATATATGCCTTTACTATGTTGAAGTAGGTTCCTTCTATGCCCATTTTTTGAAGAGTTTTTTTTTTTAAATCATAAATGGGTGCTGAATTTTGTCAAAGGCTTTTGACATCTATTAAGATTATCATATGGTTTTTATATTTCAATTTGTTAATATGGTGTATGACATTGATTGATTTGCATATATTGAAGAATCATTGCAACCCTAGAATAAAACCAATTTGATCATGGTATATGATCTTTTTAAAGTGTTGCTGAATTCTGTTTGCTAGAATTTTGTTGAGGATTTTTGCATCTATGTTCACCAGTGAT